CACCATGGACCACCACTCTGACTCAGGGTGAGACATCTTTGACGCCACACAACAGCCCAGACACTCACCAAGTTCGTCATGAGGCCTCTGCTGAGGGCGGAGAGGCTGCCGGTTCGGTAAGCAGTCATTCTGCTTCTCTGGCGCTGGGTCGTCCTGGGAATTCGCAGCGCCTCCAGGTCCCTCTTCCCGGGGTCGTCCTGCAAGGTCAGCAGCAAATGGCAGTGATGTTGGAGAGTCTCCAATTAGGATTTCAGCATCAGTGGGTCTGGAGGGCCTGAGAAGCTAAGGAAAACCTGGCTGCTGGGGCAGGGTCCCGATCCTGTTCTTGCACCCTGTTCTCTCAGCAGGCAGCCCGATGCCTTGGGGGAAAGCTTCCCCACTCAGTGCTAGATTTAAAGGTAAAGATAAAGGGACCCCTGACCGTTAGGTCCAGTCGCGGACATGGGCTTGCGGCGCTCATCTCGCTTTACTGGCCGAGGGAGCCGGCGTACAGCTTCCGGGTCATGTGGCCAGCATGACTAAGCCGCTTCTGGCGAACCAGAGCAGCGCACGGACGCCGTTTACCGCCGGAACGGTACCTCTTTATCTACTTGCACTTTGACGTGCTTTCAAACTGCTAGGTTGGCAGGGGCAGGGACCGAGCAACAGGAGCTCACCCCGTCATGGGGATTCGAACCGCCGACCTTCGGATCGGCAAGTCCTAGGCTCTGTGGTTTAACCCACAGCGCCACCTGCCCTGGATTTACATATAAGCTAAACAAGCTATAGCTTAGAGCCAGGGCTGTCTTACCCTAGGCACTAGGGGTGTGGGGCACCTGGGCACCAGGCTCTCAGGGGCTACCTTTGAAGGTGACCTGGAAACTGTAACTAATCCAAAATGCGGCAGCTAGACTGGTGACTGGGAGCGGCCGCCAAGACCATAAAACAGCAGTCCTGACAGGCCAACATTGGCTCCCAGTATGTTTTTGGGTGAAATTCAAAGTGCTGGTGCTGACCTTTAAAGCCCCAAATGGCCTCGGCCCAGTATACCTGAAGGAGCCTCTCCACCCCCATGATTCTGCCCGGAAACTGAGGTCCAGCTCCGAGGGTCTTCTGGTGGTTCCCTCACTGCAAGAAGTGAGGTTATAGGGAACCAGGCAGAGGGCCTTTTCGGTGGTGGCGCCTGCCCTGTGGAACGCCCTCCCACCAGATGTCAAAGAGATAAACACCTATCTGGCTTTTAGAAGACATCTGAAGACAGCCCTGTTTAGGGAAGTTTAAAATGTGTGACATTTTAATGTATTTTTAATCTTTGTTGGAAGCCGCCCAGAATGCCTGGGGAAACTCAGCCAGATGGGCGGGGTACAAATAATAAATTGTTGTTGTTGTTGTTAAGTGTTGAGGGAACTGTCAGAATAGAGTTATAGGATACCAAGGGGGAAAGAGCAGAGAGGTTCCACTGTGCAGGTGTAAATCTTTGCACACATGGGAACGAGCTGGTTGGCTACATCCCTCCAGAGTCCTCTGCAAAGTCCCACAAAACTGTGTGTGTGCTAACTTTGTGAAGAGCTCGGAAGATGGCAAGCGTATTTCATGACATTCTTGTTGTCCTAACAAATATACCAACCAGGGCCGGATTGAGGTTTGATGAGGCCCTTAGCTCCTGAAGGTAATGGGGCCCTTTCTATGTCCAGCTGTCCTTTGTCAACCACAAATTGTCACTGTTTTTTGTGTTGAATATATGCTATAGGGTCATTTATGGACCTCACAGGTATATGGCCTTTGGTTTGGACTCAGTCTTATGTTTCCCTCCCCTTATGGCTTTGACTTTTAAAATGAGGCTGCATTTTATTTATTTTTTCTCCTTTTCCTTTTCTTATTATGTTTTTATTGAAATTTTATTGGTGTTAGCCGCCCTGAGCCCGGCTCTGGCCGGGGAGGGTGGGGTATAAATAAAATTATTATTATTATTCAAGCCATTTGCACATGCAGAATGTAGGCACCCTATATATAGAAAGGAGCAAACCAGGGATATTTTAGGGAGCAGGATATTGTTGAACTGAAATACAATTAAGAAGTAGTATATTAATAGTGAAATACAATTAAGAAGTACAGTATATTAATAGTGAAATAATTATTAAGCTCTAACTTGAAAGGATTTTTTATTCATAACAAACTTAATAATGCAAACACATTGGCATTTGGCAAGAAGAAAAGTTCCTTTAGAAACACCATTTACAAAGACTCATCATCTTGTCTCTAGAAATTTGCTATAACATGAAATAATAATAGTAAATGAATGATATTTGAGGGAGCAGGCTAGCAGGCGGGGCCCATGACTTACATCACAGGAGCCTACACAACAGAAAACGCTGTTGCTGTAGGTAGGTTTTATTTTATTTGCTTTTTATCTTATTTTTTTGGAAATGTACATCCAGTTTTTTCTTCCTTTAAATTTCTTGGGGGCCCTCAAGAAAGTGGGGCCCTCAAGAAAGTGGGGCCCTAAGCTATAGCTTGTTTAGCTTATACGTAAATCCGGCAGTGGTACCAACCCGATATGGATCTTGGAGAACCAAAATCATGTGCTTTCCAGTGTACGCCAAACGTAAGATCTTGCCTTATGCTGAATTGGATCACTAGGGCATCTAACTCAGTTGTGTCTGGGGGTCTACACTGAGCAGCAGTGACTCCCAAGGGTTTCAGACAGACAGGAGACGTCAAGGTCTGATCCTGACCCCTTCTGCATGCAAAGGAGGTGCTCTGGCACTGAGTCACAGCTGCCTCATGCATTCCACGTCCCTTCCAGTTCTGAAATCTCCACTTCAAATTGTAGCTCCTTAACAGCTGAGGATTGGAATAAATGTTGAAGATACTCCCCCCCCACCCCACCCCCCACATTACATATTACCTCTAAAAATACTACGGTATGTCAGACGGCCTCGTAATACCTAATGATCCCAAACATCTCATACCCTCCAACACTTCTCTGATGATAAATAGGGCTTTCCTGTATAATAATAATAATACAGTGGATGCTCGGGTTGTGAACGTGATCCATGTGGGAAGCACGTTCGCAACCTGCAGCATTCGCAACCTGCAGCACTGCGTCTGTGCACGCGTGGGTTGTGATTAGGTGCTTCTGCGCATGCGCAAGCGCCGAAACCCGGAAGCAACCTGTTCTGGTACTTCTAGTTCAGCGCGGTGTGCAACCCGAAATCGCACAACCCAAAGTGTCTGTAACCCGAGCTATGACTGTAATAATAATAATAATAATAATAATAATAATAATAATAATAATAATATATTTGTACCCCGCTCATCTGACTAGGTTGCCCCAGCCACTCTGGGCTGCTTCCAACATATATAAAAACATAATAAAACTTTAAAAGGCTTCCCTATACAGGGCTGCTTTCAGGTGTCTTCTAAAGGTTATATAATTATGTATATCCTTGGCTCAGGGGTCACATAACTCCATACCCACTAACATTTCACTGATGAAAATAGGGATGTCCTCAGGAATAGCAGGACATTCCTGGATCATATCAAAAACAGGGACAGCTTCTCTAAATCCGGGCTTGTCCCTGGGAAATAGGGACACTTGGAGGGTCTAACATCCCCCTGCCCCGTATCAAACCAGAAACCCCACAAGCGCGGTTCAACTCCAAGAACTGCAACCAGCTTTCTTCATAAGCTATGAGACGGGGAAAGAGGTCTGTGGAACCACCAGAGACATGAAAAAAACCTTTCACCCCACAGAGTACCAACCTCTGCCTCTGGAAGAGCATTGGGGCTCTCTGCTCCATATCCCCCGTCGGAAAAAGGCCACAAGAGCGAAGGTGGCAGCTAAGCTCCAGGACAGCCAGGGCCCCATCTCCGAGGGTCCTGCGAAGAGGGTCCCTGCGGGATGCTTGCCCCGACTCCTCTTGCTGCTTTATGTCCCCCGTCCCGCCGTAGCAGACAGGAGAGGTTGAGTCACGGAGGCGGCGCCAGTTGTTAAACATTAGTAAATCCAGCAGAGAGAAATCCCGATTGCTGCTCCGCTGGGGTTTTTCCACTTGACCCCACACCTGGGCCAGGTGATGGGGTAGGAAAACATGGGAGCAGGGGGGTGAGTAGGGGGCTGAAAGGGTTAGAGGCGGTGGGCGTGCCTTCTTTTTAGGAACCAAACAACCCCCTGTGTTGCAAAGAGAACGTCAGCAATGTCTAGGCAACGCGATGACCATGTACAAGCGCAATATGTGCAGTGACTACATTATCACATGTTAAATAAGTTGGAGTTCTTGTTATTAAATATACCAAGAAAAAAGCACACCAGGAACTCAGGCCAACTCTTATCTCTAATTCTGTAACGAATTATTGTGTTATACATATCTTTATGAGTTTGAGTTTGTAATCTCTATTTGAGTTCGTAATCCTTATCTCTATGTGGGACAAGAAGCTACATTTAGAACAGGATACGGAACAACTGATTGGTTCAAAATTGGGAAAGGAGTACGACAAGGCTGTATACTGTCTCCCTGCTTATTTAACTTATATGCAGAATTCATCATGCGAAAGGCTGGGCTGGATGAATCCAAAGCCGGAATTAAGATTGCTGGAAGAAATATCAACAACCTCAGATATGCAGATGACCTTGATGGCAGAAAGTGAGGAGGAATTAAAGAACCTTTTAAAGAGGGTGAAAAAGGAGAATGCAAAATATGGTCTGAAGCTTAACATCAAAAAAACGAAGATCATGGCCACTGGGCCCATCACCTTCTGGCAAATAGAAGGGGAAGAAATGGAGGCAGTGAGAGATTTTACTTTCTTGGGAATGGATTGATCTGTTTTGCATTCCTTTCTATGGGAAAGCGCACTTTTGTTTTGGAACGCTTTGGTTTTGGAACGGATTTCTGGAACGGATTAAGTTTGTAAACCAAGATACCATCGTATGCTGTGAATCCCCTCACCCCGGCATGTTCCCAAATTCCAGAATCCTCCTCCCCAGCTGCTATTCTGTTTTTTAAAAGAAATAAAAATACTGAAATTATTGATTATTTATTGCATGTTTTGTTAATTAATTAATCGACTTCTTACATGTCAAAATGTCCTCCAAGCAGCTTACAAGGTTACAATCGGTGATAACACATAATTTGAAAGGCACACTAAAATACTTCCAGCAACATGTTTAGCTGCGATTCCTGTATGGCAGGGGTTGGACTAGATGACCCTTGGTGTCCCCTCCAGGTCTGGTCTTCAGCGTCTGGCGAGGACTCTGCGCCCTGGGTGGGGGCTCAGGCTTTGGGAGGCAGAGTATCTTCCTCGCTGGAATCTCCCTCGGACTCCGAGTGGCTCCCGATCCAAGTCTCGTTTTTGCTCCCCTGGGCAGGCGGAGCCACGATCATCAGCCCCGAGTAGCAGCCCCGGCAGACGGCCCGGGCACCCGAGCGCTGCTTCCCCCTGGCCCGCGCTGAGGCAGCTCCCCTGGCGGACCTCTTCGTAATGGCCTTGAACAACAGCTCCTGCAGGGAAAGGGGAAAGAAGGAGGTAGGAAACACTCCAACAAACTTCACCCCCCTCCCTGCGCCCACCCAACCGCTTTGATCGGCGGAAACAACTCCAGGTTTCACTTCACACCTGTTCCACACCTGAAAGCAGCACGGAGCCTGCAGAACTCCCTGCCTCTTGATGCCAACCAAGCACCTTCGCTGTGCTCTTTTTGGCACCCGCTTAAAACCATCTTGCTTGGACATGCCTGTCCGGATGCTTAGAAAGTCAGGGTTTCTTTCAGGCCTTCTTTTAGTATTTAACTTTCCGCATGTTTTCAACTCCCATCATGGATTTGTTATCTTTAACTTCTGTAAACCATCAGCTATATTTTGGAAGCTACCAGCATGAGTTTGACCAAACTGCGGGAGGCAGTGGAAGACAGGAGGGCCTGGTGTGCTCTGGTCCAGGGGGTCACAAAGTGTTGGACACGACTAAACGACTAAACAACAACAGGAAGTGTGCCACAAACAGAGGGCGGGATGAGTCCTTCCTCTCTCCTGCTGCGTCTGGAAGGCTCAGATTTGCCATCCCCTCAACCTGGAATAATCCCTCCTTGCCTTCAGTCCCACAAGGACTCCTATTTCACCCGTGAATGAGAGCCTTGCCAAGCTGGGCAAACATCTCTTAGGCTGGACTCCCGACAAGACAGGGATTCCTCCTCCCGCCACCCCAGGGCCAGACGTACCTGCAGAAAGCGATCTGGGTCGTATAAAAGCGGCTCTTCTGTCTCCGCAGGGCGCTGCAATTCAGGATGGCAAAATGCTTAGGCCAAGTGGAGGGGTGGGGGGAAGACAGCATATCCTGAGAGAGGACCCCCCCCCAGCTGTCCATCTTCTGTCCTTGGAGTGGCAAGCCAGCTGTGGGTTAAGACGCAAAGCCAGAAGCGGGCGCTTCCTCGTTTGCCAAGGAGCAGCTGGCTGTGCAGAGTGCACCAACTTGCCCCCACATTTGAAAGCAGCACGGACCCTCCCATCGTGGATTTGTTGATTAATTTATTCTTTCATCTCTTGCAAACTGCTTTTAAAAAGAGGTTAATCAAGCGGAGGCTCCAAGACTTTGGCTACCTCATGAGAAGAGAAGACTCCCTGGAAAAGACCCTCATGTTGGGAAAGATGGAGGGCACAAGGAGAAGGGGACGACGGAGGACGAGATGGTGGGACAGTGTTCTCGAAGCTACCAGCATGAGTCTGACCAAACTGCGGGAGGCAGTGGAAGACAGGAGGGCCTGGCGTGCTCTGGTCCAGGGGGTCACAAAGAGGCGGAAACGACAAAACGACTCAACAACAACAGGAAGTGTGCCACAAACAGAAGGCAGGATGAGTCCTTACTCTCTCCTGCAGCCTCTGGAAGGCTCAGATTTGTCATCACCTCAACCTGGAATAATCCCTCCTTGCCTTCAGTCCCACAAGGACTCCTATTTCACCCGTCAATGAGAGCCTTGCCAAGCTGGGCAAACATCTCTTAGGCTGGACTCCCGACAAGACAGGGATTCCTTCTCCACCACCCAGGGCCAGACGTACCTGCGGGCTTGGATCCCGTGTTGGCAAAGTGGGTATATGAATCCGAAGGAGATCTGGGTCGAGGAAAGGCTGCTCTTTCTGCGAAGGGACCTGCAATTCAGGATGGCATAATGCTTAGGCCAAGTGGAGGGGTGGGGGGAAGAAAGCATTTCCTGAGAGAGGACCCCCCCCCCCAGCTGTGGGTTAAGACGCAAAACCAGAAGCGGGTGCTTCCTCGTTTGCCAAGGAGCAGCTGGCTGTGCAGAGCGCTGATTGGCTAGCTTGGCTGGCAGTCACATAGCCATTCCCCGCCCACAGGGGATATTTTCCAAAGCCCCCATTAAAACCCTGAAGAATTGGCATTTGAGAAAGAGGTATGAGCACTGCAAAAGAGCATCTGCCCAGAATGGAATCTTTCCCCCCATTACAGTGGTCCCTTGGTTCTCAAATGCCTTGGTACTCAAACAATTTGGAACCCAAACACTGTAAACCCAGAAGTAATTGTTTCGGTTTGCGGACAATTTCAGAAGCCAAACATTCTTCATTTTGAGTGTTACACTGAGGTCTGTCTGTTTTTCCTATCTCTTCTGTGTTTTTGTACTTTTTCTTTCCATTTTTGTGACTGCGTGGAACCCAGTTCAGCTACTGATGGATTGTGTGACTGTAGTACATTGTTTATTGCTTTCCTTTTATGGATCAGTGGTCTCGTTAGATTGTAAAATTCATGTTAAATTACTGTTTTAGGGGAGGATTTTTTAAGTCTGGAATGGATTAATCGGCTTTGCATTGCTTTCAAATGGAAAACGCGCCTTGCTTTTGGAATGCTTTGGTTTTGGAACGGACTTCTGGAATGGATTAAGTTTGAGAACCAAGGTACCGCTGTATTTCTATGACTCTTCCTTCATTTACCTTTTCAAATCCACTAGCTGCCAGTCCGTCTCTGTGTCCACAGAGGAGCAGCTCAGAGACAAGCTGCTCCTCCTCTCTGTGGAAAACGTTTGTGCTTACCTGATGAAGAGGTGTGTAACAACTGGAGCAGTACCTCCGCTGATTTTGTCTCCGCTCCTGTTCACGGAGGAAAAAAAGCATCAAAGTGCTGCCCCTGTTCCCAGCCAGCCCATGGCTCTTGCAGGAACAGGCAGAGAGAAATCTCCGCCCTGGGGCCAAAACAGAGTCAGGGACGGGGCAATGTTTCCAGGCCATCTCCTTGGGCTGCCAGATTGTGAAGCTGACCCAGTGAATATCAAGGGGGCTTTTTATGGCAAGGGTCTCTGGACAAGGCAGGGGGGCTCCCTCTGCCCACTTTCCAGCCCCCACAGCCCCAGACATACCTGGGTGCCTTGATCCCCGCCTAGCAAGATGTCCTCCACCGATCGGACGTTTCTCTTGGAAGCCTCCTGCAGAGGGAGTGAAATGGGGAATGCCGGACAGTCGCACAACAGGGCATTGCCGTTCAACCTTGTATAATACTGAGACCAAGCTCGGTTGTGGGAGAAAAGGAAGCTTTTCCCAAGAGGCTCCAGCAGTCCTCCATCTTCTCTCCTTTCAGGGATGGCCCTGCTGTGGATTCACAATCTCTGGACACACAAACCCAGAAGCCACCGGCTCCCCCTGTGTCAAGGAGAATCTGGCAGCGCCAAGTGCCGATTGGCTAGCCTTGGTTGCCGTCAGACAAAGCTGTGCAGCAACCGAGGCTAGGATTTAGTCTGGGGGGCAGGCGCACCAACTTGCCCCCACATTTGAAAACAGCACGGAGCCTGCGGAACTCCCTGCCTCTTGATGCCAACCAAACACCTTTTCGGCACCTGCTTAAAACATTCTTTTTTGGACATGCCTGGCCGGATGCTTAGAAGGTCAGTGTTTCTTTCAGGCCTTTTAGTATTTAACTTTCCGCATGTTTTCAACCCCATCATGAATTTGTTATCTTTATCTTTTGTAAACCATCAGCTATATTTTGGAAGCTACCAGCATGAGTCTGACCAAACTGCGGGAGGCAGTGGAAGACAGGAGTGCCTGGTGTGCTCTGGTCCAGGGGGTCACAAAGAGTCGGACACCACTAAACGACTCAACAACAACAGGAAGTGTGGCACAAACAGAGGGCGGGATGAGTCCTTCCTCTCTCCTGCAGCCTCTGGAAGGCTCAGATTTGCCATCACCTCAACCTGGAATAATCCCTCCTTGCCTTCAGTCCCACAAGGACTCCTATTTCTCCCGTCAATGAGAGCCTTGCCAATCTGGGCAAACATCTCTTAGGCTGGACTCCCGACAAGACAGGGATTCCTTCTCCACCACCCCAGGGCCAGATGTACCTGCAGGCTTGGATCCAGTGCTTGCAAACTGGGCATATGAATCTGAAAGCGATCTGGGTCGTATAAAAGCGGCTCTTCTGTCTTCGCAGGGCGCTGCAATTCAGGATGGCAGAATGCTTAGGCCAAGTGGAGGGGTGGAGGGAAGAGAGCATTTCCTGAGAGAGAACCTCCCCCACCCACCCACCCCAGCTGTCCATCTTCTGTCCTTGGAGTGGCAAACCAGCTGTGGGTTAAGACACAAAGCCAGAAGCGGGCACTTCCTCGTTTGCCAAGGAGCAGCTGGCTGTGCAGAGTGCACCAACTTGCCCCCACATTTGAAAGCAGCACGGACCCTGCGGAACTCCCTGCCTCTTGATGCCAACCAAGCACCTTCGCCGTGCTCTTTTCGGCACCTGCTTAAAACATTCCTTTTTGGACAAGACTGGGCAGATGCTTAGAAAGTCAGTGTTTGATTCAGCCTGTTTTAGTATTTAACTTTCCGCATGTTTTCAACTCCCATCGTGGATTTGTTGATTAATTTATTGTTTCATCTCTTGCAAACTGCTCTTAAAAAGAGGTTAATCAAGCAATATATAATTGTTACGAAACAAACAAACAACCCGCTGTGGAATCTGTTGAGACGATGAGCATGATGGTGCCTAATAAAAGCCTACAATGGATCTCAATTGTTTCATGTGATTTATTAAATCATGGGGAATGGGATTACTTCGGGGGGAAGCACTAAGGGGGTGGCACTGGGGCGCAGGAGGTGCAAATGACCATTGGGTATTAAAAGAGGGTGCAGGAGAGGCCTGTCGACGGCCACTAGCCACAAGGGCCACGCTTTGCCTCCGTAGTCAGAGGCAGAGATGCTTCTGAAATACCTGTGACCAAGAAGTGTGCTCCATGATCACTGCAGATGGTGACAGCAGTCAGGAAATTAAAAGACGCCTGCTCCTTGGTAGAAAGGCGATGGCAAACCTAGACAGCATCTTAAAAAGCAGAGACATCACCTTGCCAACAAAGGCCCGTATAGTTAAAGCTATGGTTTTCCCAGTAGTGATGTATGGAAGTGAGAGCTGGACCATAAAGAAGGCTGATCGCTGAAGAATGGATGCTTTTGAATTCTGGTGCTGGAGGAGACTCTTGAGAGTCCCATGGACTGCAAGAAGATCCAAACCTCTCCATTCTGAAGGAAATCAGCCCTGAGTGCTCACTGGAAGGACAGATCGTGAAGCTGAGGCTCCAAGACTTTGGCCACCTCATGAGAAGAGAAGACTCCCTGGAAAAGACCCTGATGCTGGGAAAGATGGAGGGCACAAGGAGAAGGGGACGGCAGAGGACGAGATGGTGGGACAGTGTTCTCGAAGCTACCAGCATGAGTTTGACCAAACTGCGGGAGGCAGTGGAAGACAGGAGTGCCTGGCGTGCTCTGGTCCAGGGGGTCAGGAAGAAGTGGACATGACTAAACAGCAACAGGAAGTGTGCCACAAACAGAGGGCGGGATGAGTCCTTACTCTCTCCTGCAGCCTCTGGAAGGCTCAGATTTGCCATCACCTCAACCTGGAATAATCCCTCCTTGCCTTCATTCCCACAAGGACTCCTATTTCACCCGTCAATGAGAGCCTTGCCAAGCTGGGCAAACATCTCTTAGGCTGGACTCCCGACAAGACAGGGATTCCTCCTCCCGCAACCCCAGGGCCAGACGTACCTGCAGGCTTGGCTCTAGTGCTGGCAAGCTGGGCATCTGAATCTGAGGGAGATCTGGGTCGGATAATTGTGGCTCTTTCTCCGCAGGGACCTGCAATTCAGGATGGTATAATGCTAAGGCCAAGTGGAGGGGTGGGGGGGAGAGAGCATTTCCTGAGAGAGGACCCCCCCCCACAGCTGTCCATCTTCTGTCCTTGGAGTGGCAAACCAGCTGTGGGGTAAGACGCAAAGGCAGAAGCGGGCGCTTCCTCGTTTGCCAAGGAGCAGCTGGCTGTGCAGAGCGCTGATAGGCTAGCTTGGGTGGCACTCACACAGCCATTCCCCGCCCACAGGGGATATTTTCCAAAGTCCCCATTAAAACCCTGAAGAAATGGCATTTGAGAAAGAGGTATGAGCTCTGCAAAAGAGCATCTGCCCAGACTGGAATCTTTCCCCCCATTACAGTGGTCCCTTGGTTCTCAAACACCTTGGTACTCAAACAACTTGGAACCCAAACACTGCAAACCCAGAAGTAAGTGTTCCGGTTTGCGGACAATTTCGGAAGCCAAGCATTCTTCATTTTGAGTGTTACACTGAGGTCTGTCTGTTTTTGCTATCTGTTCAGTGTTTTTGTGCCTTTTTCTTTTCGCTTTTGTGACTGCGTGGAACCCAGTTCAGCTACTGATGGATTGTGTGACTGTAAAGTTAAAGGTAAAGGGACCCCTGACTGTTAGGTCCAGTCATGGCTGACTCTGGGGTTGCGGCGCACATTTCGCTTTATTGGCAGAGGGAACTGGCATACAGCATGTGGCCAGCATGACTAAGCCGCTTCTGGCGAGCCAGAGCAGGGCACGAAAACAGTGTTTACCTTCCCGCCAGAGTGGTACCTACTTGCACTTTGAGGTGCTTTCAAACTGCTAGGTTGGCAGGAGCAGGGACCGAGCAACGGGAGCTCACCCTGTCGCAGGGATTCAAACCGCCGACCTTCTGATCGGCAAGTCCTAGGCTCTGTGGTTTAACCCACAGCGAATCCAGCATCGTACATTATTACTTTCATTTTATGGATCAATGGTCTCGTTAGATTGTAAAATTCATGTTAAATTGCTGTTTATGGGGTGGTTTTTAAAAGTCTGGAACGGATTAATCAGTTTTGCATTGCTTTCAATGGGAAAACATGCCTTGCTTTTGGAACGCTTTGGTTATGGAATGGACTTCCAGAATGCATTAAGTTTGAGAACCAAGGTACTGCTGTATTTCTATGACTCTTCCTTCATTTACCTTTTCAAATCCACTAGCTGCCAGTTTGTCTCTGTGTCCACAGAGGAGCAGCTCAGAGACCAGCCCTGCACCTCTCCTCCTCTCTGTGGAAAACGTTTGTGCTTACCTGATGAAGAGGTGTGTGACAACCGGGGCAGTACCACGGCCAATCTAGACTCCGAGCCTGTTCATGGAGGAAAAAGAGCATCAAAGTGCTGCCCCTGTTGCCAGCCAGCCCATGGCTCTTGCAGGAACAGGCAGAGAGAAATCTCCACCTTGGGGCCAAAAGAGAATCAGGGACGGGGCAATGTTTCCAGGCCATCTCCTTGGGCTGCCAGATTGTGAAGCTGACCCAGTGGGTATCAAGGGGGCTTTTCTGGCAAGGGAGTGAGGGGTCTCCGGACAAGGCAGGGGGCTCCCTCTGCCCCCCACCTTCCAGCCCCCACAGCTCCAGACATACCTGGCGACTTGGCAAGGTGTCCTCCACCGATCGGACGTTTCTCTTGGAAGCCTCCTGCAGAAGGAGTGAAATGGGGAATGCCGGACAGTCGCACAACAGGGCATTGCCGTTCAACCTTCTATAATACTGAGACCAAGCTCGGTTGTGGGAGAAAAGGAAGCTTTTCCCAAGAGGCTCCAGCAGTCCTCCATCTTCTCTCCTTTCAGGGATGGCCCTGCTGTGGGTTCACAATCTCTGGAGACACAAACCCAGAAGCCACCGGCTCCCCCTGTGTCAAGGAGAATCTGGCAGCGCCGAGTGCCGATTGGCTAGCCTTGGTTGCCGTCAGACAAAGCTGTGCAGCAACGAGGCTAGGATTTATTCTAGGGGGCAGGCACACCAACTTGCCCCCACATTTGAAAACAGCACGGAGCCTGCGGAACTCCCTGCCTCTTGATCCCAACCAAACACCTTTTCGGCACCTGCTTAAAAAATTCTTTTTTGGACATGCCTGGCCGGATGCTTAGAAGGTCAGTGTTTCTTTCAGGCCTTCTTTTAGTATTTAACTTTCCGCATGTTTTCAACCCCATCATGGATTTGTTATCTTTATCTTTTGTAAACCTAAACCATCAGCTATATTTTGGAAGCTACCAGCATGAGTCTGACCAAACTGCGGGAGGCAGTGGAAGACAGGAGTGCCTGGTGTGCTCTGGTCCAGGGGGTCACAAAGAGTCGGACACGACTCAACGACTAAACAACAACAGGAAGTGTGCCACAAACAGAGGGCAGGATGAGTCCTTACTCTCTCCTGCAGCCTCTGGAAGGCTCAGATTTGCCATCACCTCAACCTGGAATAATCCCTCCTTGCCTTCAGTCCCACAAGTACTCCTATTTCTCCCGTCAATGAGAGCCTTGCCAATCTGGGCAAACATCTCCAAGGCTGGACTCCCGACAAGACAGGGATTCCTTCTCCACCACCCCAGGGCCAGACGTACCTGCAGGCTTGGATCCAGTGCTTGCAAGCTGGGCATATGAATCTGAAAGCGATCTGGGTCGTATAAAAGCGGCTCTTCTGTCTTCGCAGGGTGCTGCAATTCAGGATGGCAGAATGCTTAGGCCAAGTGGAGGGGTGGGGGGAAGAGAGCATTTCCTGAGAGAGAACCTCCCCCCCCCCACAGCTGTCCATCTTCTGTCCTTGGAGTGGCAAACCAGCTGTGGGTTAAGACGCAAAGCCAGAAGCGGGCACTTCCTCGTTTGCCAAGGAGCAGCTGGCTGTGCAGAGTGCACCAACTTGCCCCCACATTTGAAAGCAGCACGGACCCTGCGGAACTCCCTGCCTCTTGATGCCAACCAAGCAACTTCGCCGTGCTCTTTTCGGCACCTGCTTAAAACATTCCTTTTTGGACAAGACTGGGCAGATGCTTAGAAAGTCAGTGTTTGATTCAGCCTGTTTTAGTATTTAACTTTCCGCATGTTTTCAACTCCCATCGTGGATTTGTTGATTAATTTATTGTTTCATCTCTTGCAAACTGCTCTTAAAAAGAGGTTAATCAAGCAATATATAATTGTTACGAAACAAACAAACAACCCGCTGTGGAATCTGTTGAGACGATGAGCATGATGGTGCCTAATAAAAGCCTACAATGGATCTCAATTGTTTCATGTGATTTATTAAATCATGGGGAATGGGATTACTTCGGGGGGAAGCACTAAGGGGGTGGCACTGGGGCGCAGGAGGTGCAAATGACCATTGGGTATTAAAAGAGGGTGCAGGAGAGGCCTGTCGACGGCCACTAGCCACAAGGGCCACGCTTTGCCTCCGTAGTCAGAGGCAGAGATGCTTCTGAAATACCTGTGACCAAGAAGTGTGCTCCATGATCACTGCAGATGGTGACAGCAGTCAGGAAATTAAAAGACGCCTGCTCCTTGGTAGAAAGGCGATGGCAAACCTAGACAGCATCTTAAAAAGCAGAGACATCACCTTGCCAACAAAGGCCCGTATAGTTAAAGCTATGGTTTTCCCAGTAGTGATGTATGGAAGTGAGAGCTGGACCATAAAGAAGGCTGATCGCTGAAGAATGGATGCTTTTGAATTCTGGTGCTGGAGGAGACTCTTGAGAGTCCCATGGACTGCAAGAAGATCCAACCTCTCCATTCTGAAGGAAATCAGCCCTGAGTGCTCACTGGAAGGACAGATCGTGAAGCTGAGGCTCCAAGACTTTGGCCACCTCATGAGAAGAGAAGACTCCCTGGAAAAGACCCTGATGCTGGGAAAGATGGAGGGCACAAGGAGAAGGGGACGGCAGAGGACGAGATGGTGGGACAGTGTTCTCGAAGCTACCAGCATGAGTTTGACCAAACTGCGGGAGGCAGTGGAAGACAGGAGTGCCTGGCGTGCTCTGGTCCAGGGGGTCAGGAAGAAGTGGACATGACTAAACAGCAACAGGAAGTGTGCCACAAACAGAGGGCGGGATGAGTCCTTACTCTCTCCTGCAGCCTCTGGAAGGCTCAGATTTGCCATCACCTCAACCTGGAATAATCCCTCCTTGCCTTCATTCCCACAAGGACTCCTATTTCACCCGTCAATGAGAGCCTTGCCAAGCTGGGCAAACATCTCTTAGGCTGGACTCCCGACAAGACAGGGATTCCTCCTCCCGCAACCCCAGGGCCAGACGTACCTGCAGGCTTGGCTCTAGTGCTGGCAAGCTGGGCATCTGAATCTGAGGGAGATCTGGGTCGGATAATTGTGGCTCTTTCTCCGCAGGGACCTGCAATTCAGGATGGTATAATGCTAAGGCCAAGTGGAGGGGTGGGGGGAGAGAGCATTTCCTGAGAGAGGACCCCCCCCCACAGCTGTCCATCTTCTGTCCTTGGAGTGGCAAACCAGCTGTGGGGTAAGACGCAAAGGCAGAAGCGGGCGCTTCCTCGTTTGCCAAGGAGCAGCTGGCTGTGCAGAGCGCTGATAGGCTAGCTTGGGTGGCACTCACACAGCCATTCCCCGCCCACAGGGGATATTTTCCAAAGTCCCCATTAAAACCCTGAAGAAATGGCATTTGAGAAAGAGGTATGAGCTCTGCAAAAGAGCATCTGCCCAGACTGGAATCTTTCCCCCCATTACAGTGGTCCCTTGGTTCTCAAACACCTTGGTACTCAAACAACTTGGAACCCAAACACTGCAAACCCAGAAGTAAGTGTTCCGGTTTGCGGACAATTTCGGAAGCCAAGCATTCTTCATTTTGAGTGTTACACTGAGGTCTGTCTGTTTTTGCTATCTGTTCAGTGTTTTTGTGCCTTTTTCTTTTCGCTTTTGTGACTGCGTGGAACCCAGTTCAGCTACTGATGGATTGTGTGACTGTAAAGTTAAAGGTAAAGGGACCCCTGACTGTTAGGTCCAGTCATGGCTGACTCTGGGGTTGCGGCGCACATTTCGCTTTATTGGCAGAGGGAACTGGCATACAGCATGTGGCCAGCATGACTAAGCCGCTTCTGGCGAGCCAGAGCAGGGCACGAAAACAGTGTTTACCTTCCCGCCAGAGTGGTACCTACTTGCACTTTGAGGTGCTTTCAAACTGCTAGGTTGACAGGAGCAGGGACCGAGCAACGGGAGCTCACCCTGTCGCAGGGATTCAAACCGCCGACCTTCTGATCGGCAAGTCCTAGGCTCTGTGGTTTAACCCACAGCGAATCCAGCATCGTACATTATTACTTTCATTTTATGGATCAATGGTCTCGTTAGATTGTAAAATTCATGTTAAATTGCTGTTTATGGGGTGGTTTTTAAAAGTCTGGAACGGATTAATCAGTTTTGCATTGCTTTCAATGGGAAAACATGCCTTGCTTTTGGAACGCTTTGGTTATGGAATGGACTTCCAGAATGCATTAAGTTTGAGAACCAAGGTACTGCTGTATTTCTATGACTCTTCCTTCATTTACCTTTTCAAATCCACTAGCTGCCAGTTTGTCTCTGTGTCCACAGAGGAGCAGCTCAGAGACCAGCCCTGCACCTCTCCTCCTCTCTGTGGAAAACGTTTGTGCTTACCTGATGAAGAGGTGTGTGACAACCGGGGCAGTACCACGGCCAATCTAGACTCCGAGCCTGTTCATGGAGGAAAAAGAGCATCAAAGTGCTGCCCCTGTTGCCAGCCAGCCCATGGCTCTTGCAGGAACAGGCAGAGAGAAATCTCCACCTTGGGGCCAAAAGAGAATCAGGGACGGGGCAATGTTTCCAGGCCATCTCCTTGGGCTGCCAGATTGTGAAGCTGACCCAGTGGGTATCAAGGGGGCTTTTCTGGCAAGGGAGTGAGGGGTCTCCGGACAAGGCAGGGGGCTCCCTCTGCCCCCCACCTTCCAGCCCCCACAGCTCCAGACATACCTGGCGACTTGGCAAGGTGTCCTCCACCGATCGGACGTTTCTCTTGGAAGCCTCCTGCAGAAGGAGTGAAATGGGGAATGCCGGACAGTCGCACAACAGGGCATTGCCGTTCAACCTTCTATAATACTGAGACCAAGCTCGGTTGTGGGAGAAAAGGAAGCTTTTCCCAAGAGGCTCCAGCAGTCCTCCATCTTCTCTCCTTTCAGGGATGGCCCTGCTGTGGGTTCACAATCTCTGGAGACACAAACCCAGAAGCCACCGGCTCCCCCTGTGTCAAGGAGAATCTGGCAGCGCCGAGTGCCGATTGGCTAGCCTTGGTTGCCGTCAGACAAAGCTGTGCAGCAACGAGGCTAGGATTTATTCTAGGGGGCAGGCACACCAACTTGCCCCCACATTTGAAAACAGCACGGAGCCTGCGGAACTCCCTGCCTCTTGATCCCAACCAAACACCTTTTCGGCACCTGCTTAAAAAATTCTTTTTTGGACATGCCTGGCCGGATGCTTAGAAGGTCAGTGTTTCTTTCAGGCCTTCTTTTAGTATTTAACTTTCCGCATGTTTTCAACCCCATCATGGATTTGTTATCTTTATCTTTTGTAAACCTAAACCATCAGCTATATTTTGGAAGCTACCAGCATGAGTCTGACCAAACTGCGGGAGGCAGTGGAAGACAGGAGTGCCTGGTGTGCTCTGGTCCAGGGGGTCACAAAGAGTCGGACACGACTCAACGACTAAACAACAACAGGAAGTGTGCCACAAACAGAGGGCAGGATGAGTCCTTACTCTCTCCTGCAGCCTCTGGAAGGCTCAGATTTGCCATCACCTCAACCTGGAATAATCCCTCCTTGCCTTCAGTCCCACAAGTACTCCTATTTCTCCCGTCAATGAGAGCCTTGCCAATCTGGGCAAACATCTCCAAGGCTGGACTCCCGACAAGACAGGGATTCCTTCTCCACCACCCCAGGGCCAGACGTACCTGCAGGCTTGGATCCAGTGCTTGCAAGCTGGGCATATGAATCTGAAAGCGATCTGGGTCGTATAAAAGCGGCTCTTCTGTCTTCGCAGGGTGCTGCAATTCAGGATGGCAGAATGCTTAGGCCAAGTGGAGGGGTGGAGGGAAGAGAGCATTTCCTGAGAGAGAACCTCCCCCACCCACCCACCCCAGCTGTCCATCTTCTGTCCTTGGAGTGGCAAACCAGCTGTGGGTTAAGACGCAAAGCCAGAAGCGGGCACTTCCTCGTTTGCCAAGGAGCAGCTGGCTGTGCAGAGTGCACCAACTTGCCCCCACATTTGAAAGCAGCACGGACCCTGCGGAACTCCCTGCCTCTTGATGCCAACCAAGCAACTTCGCCGTGCTCTTTTCGGCACCTGCTTAAAACATTCCTTTTTGGACAAGACTGGGCAGATGCTTAGAAAGTCAGTGTTTGATTTAGCCTGTTTTAGTATTTAACTTTCCGCATGTTTTCAACTCCCATCGTGGATTTGTTGATTAATTTATTGTTTCATCTCTTGCAAACTGCTCTTAAAAAGAGGTTAATCAAGCAATATATAATTGTTACGAAACAAACAAACAACCCGCTGTGGAATCTGTTGAGACGATGAGCATGATGGTGCCTAATAAAAGCCTACAATGGATCTCAATTGTTTCATGTGATTTATTAAATCATGGGGAATGGGATTACTTCGGGGGGAAGCACTAAGGGGGTGGCACTGGGGCGCAGGAGGTGCAAATGACCATTGGGTATTAAAAGAGGGTGCAGGAGAGGCCTGTCGACGGCCACTAGCCACAAGGGCCACGCTTTGCCTCCGTAGTCAGAGGCAGAGATGCTTCTGAAATACCTGTGACCAAGAAGTGTGCTCCATGATCACTGCAGATGGTGACAGCAGTCAGGAAATTAAAAGACGCCTGCTCCTTGGTAGAAAGGCGATGGCAAACCTAGACAGCATCTTAAAAAGCAGAGACATCACCTTGCTAACAAAGGTCCGTATAGTGAAAGCTATGGTTTTCCCAGTAGTGATGTATGGAAGTGAGAGCTGGACCATAAAGAAGGCTGATCGCTGAAGAATGGATGCTTTTGAATTCTGGTGCTGGAGGAGACTCTTGAGAGTCCCATGGACTGCAAGAAGATCAAACCTATCCATTCTTAAGGAAATCAGCCCTGAGTGCTCACTGGAAGGACAGATCGTGAAGCTGAGGCTCCAAGACTTTGGCCACCTCATGAGAAGAGAAGACTCCCTGGAAAAGACCCTGATGTTGGGAAAGATGGAGGGCACAAGGAGAAGGGGACGACAGAGGACGAGATGGTGGGACAGTGTTCTTGAAGCTACCAGCATGAGTTTGACCAAACTGCGGGAGGCAGTGGAAGACAGGAGTGCCTGGCGTGCTCTGGTCCAGGGGGTCATGAAGAGTCGGACACGACTAAACAGCAACAGGAAGTGTGGCACAAACAGAGGGCGGGATGAGTCCTTACTCTCTCCTGCTGCGCCTGGAAGGCTCAGATTTGCCATCACCTCAACCTGGAATAATCCCTCCTTGCCTTCATTCCCACAAGGACTCCTATTTCACCCGTCAATGAGAGCCTTGCCAATCTGGGCAAACATCTCTTAGGCTGGACTCCTGACAAGACTGGGATTCCTCCTTCCGCCACCCCAGGGCCAGACGTACCTGCGGGCTTGGCTCCGGTTCTTGCAAGCTGGGCATATGAATCTGAAAGCGATCTGGGTCGTATAAAAGCGGCTCTTTTTCCGCAGGGACCTGCAATTCAGGATGGTATAATGCTTAGGCCAAGTGGAGGGGTGGGGGGAAGAGAGCATTTCCTGAGAGAGGACCCCCCCAGCTGTCCATCTTCTGTCCAGCAAACCAGCTGTGGGTTAAGACGCAAAACCAGAAGCGGGTGCTTCCTCGTTTGCCAAGGAGCAGCTGGCTGTGCAGAGCGCTGATTGGCTAGCTTGGCTGGCAGTCACATAGCCATTCCCCGCCCACAGGGGATATTTTCCAAAGCCCCCATTAAAACCCTGAAGAATTGGCATTTGAGAAAGAGGTATGAGCACTGCAAAAGAGCATCTGCCCAGACTAGAATCTTTCCCCCCATTACAGTGGTCCCTTGGTTCTCAAACGCCTTGGTACTCAAACAACTTGGAACCCAAACACTGCAAACCCAGAAGTAATTGTTTCGGTTTGCGGACAATTTCGGAAGCCAAACATTCTTCATTTTGAGTGTTACACTGAGGTCTGTCTGTTTTTCCTATCTGTTCTGTGTTTTTGTACTTTTTTCATTTCATTTTTGTGATTGCGTGGAACCCAGTTCAGCTACTGATGGATTGTGTGACTGCAGTACATTGTTTATTGCTTTCCTTTTATGGATCAATGGTCTCGTTAGATTGTAAAATTCATGTTCAATTGCTGTTTATGGGGAGGATTTTTAAAGTCTGGAACGGATTAATCGGCTTTGCATTGCTTTCAATGGGAAAATGTGCCTTGCTTTTCGAATGCTTTGGTTTTGGAACGGACTTGTGGAACGGATTAAGTTTGAGAACCAAGGTACCACTGTATTTCTATGACTCTTCCTTCATTTACCTTTTGAAATCCACTAGCTGCCAGTCCGTCTCTGTGTCCACAGAGGAGCAGCTCAGAGACCAGCTCTGCACCTCTCCTCCTCTCTGTGGAAAACGTTTTGCTTACCTTATTAATAGCTGTGAAGCAACCGGGGCAGTACCACGGCCAATCTAGACTCCGAGCCTGTTCACGGAGGAAAAAGAGCATCAAAGTGCCGCCCCTGTTCCCAGCCAGCCCATGGCTCTTGCAGGAACAGGCAGAGAGAAATCTCCGCCCTGGGGCCAAAACAGAGTCAGGGACGGGGCAATGTTTCCAGGCCATCTCCTTGGGCTGCCAGATTGTGAAGCTGACCCAGTGGGTATCAAGGGGGCTTTTCTGGCAAGGGAGTGAGGGGTCTCCGGACAAGGCAGGGGGCTCCCTCTGCCCACCTTCCAGCCCCCACAGCTCCAGACATACCTGGCGACTTGGCAAGGTGTCCTCCACCGATCGGACGTTTCTCTTGGAAGCCTCCTGCAGAAGGAGTGAAATGGGGAATGACGGACAGTCGCACAACAGGGCATTGCCGTTCAACCTTGTATAATACTGAGACCAAGCTCGGTTGTGGGAGAAAAGAAAGCTTTTCCCAAGAGGCTCCACCAGTCCTCCATCTTCTCTCCTTTCAGGGATGGCCCTGCTGTGGGTTCACAATCTCTGGAGACACAAACCCAGAAGCCACCGGCTCCCCCTGTGTCAAGGAGAATCTGGCAGCGCCGAGTGCCGATTGGCTAGCCTTGGTTGCCGTCAGACAAAGCTGTGCAGCAACCGAGGCTAGGATTTAGTGTAGGGGGCAGGCGCACCAACTTGCCCCCACATTTGAAAACAGAACGGAGCCTGTGGAACTCCCTGCCTCTTCATGCCAACCAAGCACCTTCGCCGTGCTCTTTTTGGCACCTGCTTAAAACATTCTTTTTTGGACAAGACTGGGCAGATGCTTAGAAAGTCAGTGTTTGATTCAGCCTGTTTTAGTATTTAACTTTCTGCATGTTTTCAACTCCCATCGTGGATTTGTTGATTAATTTATTGTTTCATCTTTTGTAAACTGCCTTTAAAAAGAGGATAATCAAGCAATATATCAACCCAGTGCGGAATCTGCTGAGACGATGAGCATGATGGGGCCTAATAAAAGCCTACAATGGAGCTCAATTGTTTCATGTGATTTATTAAATCATGGGGAATGGGATTACTTGGGGGGGAAGCACTAAGGGGGTGGCACTGGACTCCGAGCCTGTTCACGGAGGAAAAAGAGCATCAAAGTGCCGCCCCTGTTCCCAGCCAGCCCATGGCTCTTGCAGGAACAGGCAGAGAGAAATCTCCGCCCTGGGGCCAAAACAGAGTCAGGGACGGGGCAATGTTTCCAGGCCATCTCCTTGGGCTGCCAGATTGTGAAGCTGACCCAGTGGGTATCAAGGGGGCTTTTCTGGCAAGGGAGTGAGGGGTCTCCGGACAAGGCAGGGGGCTCCCTCTGCCCACCTTCCAGCCCCCACAGCTCCAGACATACCTGGCGACTTGGCAAGGTGTCCTCCACCGATCGGACGTTTCTCTTGGAAGCCTCCTGCAGAAGGAGTGAAATGGGGAATGCCGGACAGTCGCACAACAGGGCATTGCCGTTCAACCTTGCATAACACTGAGACCAAGCTCGGTTGTGGGAGAAAAGAAAGCTTTTCCCAAGAGGCTCCAGCAGTCCTCCATCTTCTCTCCTTTCAGGGATGGCCCTGCTGTGGGTTCACAATCTCTGGAGACACAAACCCAGAAGCCACCGGCTCCCCCTGTGTCAAGGAGAATCTGGCAGCGCCGAGTGCCGATTGGCTAGCCTTGGTTGCCGTCAGACAAAGCTGTGCAGCAATGAGGCTAGGATTTAGTGTAGGGGGCAGGCGCACCAACTTGCCCCCACATTTGAAAACAGCACGGAGCCTGCGGAACTCCCTGCCTCTTGATGCCAACCAAGCACCTTCGCCGTGCTCTTTTCGGCACCTGCTTAAAACATTCTTTTTGGACAAGACTTGGCAGATGCTTAAAAAGTCAGTGTTTGATTCAGCCTGTTTTAGTATTTAACTGTCTGCATGTTTTCAACTCCCATCGTGGATTTGTTGATTAATTTATTGTTTCATCTTTTGTAAACTGCTTTTAAAAAGAGGATAACCAAGCAATATATATCAACCCAGTGCGGAATCTGCTGAGACGATGAGCATGATGGGACCTAAAAAAAGCCTACAATGGAGCTCAATTGTTTCATGTGATTTATTAAACCATGGGGAATGGGATTACTTGGGGGGGGAAGCACTAAGGGGGTGGCACTGGGGCGCAGGAGGTGCAAATGACCGTTGGGTATTAAAAGAGGGTGGAGGAGAGGCCTGTCGACGGCCTGTGCCTTGTGGCATGCCGAGATGTTGCGCACATGACGGATGGGCTTTGCAGTTTGCCTCCTTTTCCCCGCACAACCTTGCAGCGGCCTGTGAGGGGTGCGGCTGTGGTGGGTTTGCCAGTGGGCAGCCCTTCCCTGAATTTTTTTTTGGGGGGGGCACAAGACCCCTTGGCGCCCCTAGTTGGGGGTGGTTTTGCTGGTGGTTCATTCTGGACATGGAGAGACAAAGTGCATCATCCTAATCTCTGATTCTGTACTTGGGGTCCGGAAAAAAGAAGGAATGGCAGAAGGTTGAAACCAGTATCTGCTGGGAGACAAAGGATGAACAAGTACATGATATACTGGGCAATCGATATTGGTCAAGATATAGACACGGAAGCATGGGAACGATTGTGGAATATGGATATAAAATTTACAGCATGCTATGGTTTAAGAGAAGATTATATGAAAAAGATATATCAGTGGTATCTAAGTAAATTGGCAAAAATCTATAAATGTAATTCAAGTAAGTGTTGGAAATGTAAAGAGAAAGAAGGTTCTTTTTATCATATGTGGTGGTCTTGTAGTAAGGTCAAAGCTTACTGGGAAATGATATATAATGAAATGAAAAGGATGTTTAAAACAACCTTTGTAAAGAACAACCAGAAGCCTTTCTTTTGGGAATTATAGAATTACAGAGCTACCTAAAATGTATAGAAACTTATCCATGTTTCATGTACAGTGGCAAGAATGTTTCTTGCCCCAAAGTGGAAAGAAGCAGAAGTCCCAGCAAAGGAAGAATGGATACAAAAACTTATGGAATATGCATAAATGGCGAAACTTACCAGAAGAGTAAGAAATCAAGATAACATTTTTTAAAAGAATAAAAATGGTTTGTTCAATATTTACAGATAAATTATAAACAGATAAAAACACTGGCAGGTTCATTGTAATAACCTGCAGTTTCATAGGAGTATATATTTAAAGAAGATGAATAAATGAGCAAATTAAATTGGGATATGCAGAAGATGTTAAAAATTAATTTAAAGAAAGAGGGGGAAGGAAGTCAAAATGTCAAAATGATTGTAAAATTAATGAAAATTAGTGAAATGTATAAGCTTGAAAAGAAAGAAAAAGATGAGATTTTAGCAAAAAGAAAAAAGAAACAATTTCTGCTGCTTCGTTGTGGGTGGGTGTTGACATGATCGTTCAACAGAAGAGCCTATGCTCATAGTTTGCCTTTCATTGGGCCTTGGCTATGGGGCTCCTTTGCATCCAAATTTCACAAATTGCTGTCCAGAGTTCCTGGAAGAAGGTGTGTGTTATTGCACAAGCCCTGCAGGCAGCGGCAGGGTCAGGTAAATATCAGAAGAGGTGATGGACAGTCGGTCCTCTCCCTCCCGGCTCCTGGGCCTTCTGGGAATCTGGCATGGGGCAGGATCTGGGAAACCAGAAAGTCACCCAGACAGAGGCAACATTCTGATGGATTCTTTCCTGTGTCTTAGGATGGGCTCAGACTAGCAGGTCATATTGGCTGCGTTGGGGCTCAAACCGAGGAAGAACCGCTAACAGTATAAAGGGCATCGGAGCACGCGCAGAGTGCTTTCGCCTCTTCTTCGCTGAGAAACCACAACCGATGCCACTCTCAGAACTGGAAGGCACAACTTCCACGGCTGAGAACCCAGAATTTCTTTTGGTTAGGAACTAAGAGATTAAGGAACGTCTGGCTGCGGAATCAGGCCAGGGACTCACTGGGCCCAGTATCCTGTTCTCACAGCAGCCAGGTGCTTATGAGAACCCCACAATCAGGATTCGACCACGAGAGCCCTCTCCTGCCCAACCCCTTGCAAGACAGGAATAAAGTGTTCTTTGTCAAATGCACTTCACATATTATGTATTCTCTCTCTCTCTTTTTTTAATTGACTTAAGAAAATTATACAGACAGCAAAACGCAGAAGTCCAAGTTAACATTGCCTTCTGCTAATAAGAAATAAGAATAACTATTACAATAATGAAAATATTAAAAATACATTTACTTCCCCTTTTGAACTTCTCTTGTTACAAAATATTACTATTCTATAAGAATCTATTATATCCTTTGCTGTCCCATTTATTATTTTATTTCCCAAATTCAACCCAACCCTCCCCTCCTCCCCACTGCTTCCCTTCACCTGTGTGAGATCTTTCCCAACATAATATTTTTTTCTAGTTGCTTTAACAAAATAAAATAACATGAAAACTAATAAATTATAATTACTTCTTTTGTCCTTACAGGCTTAACAATTGCCTATGAAGAGTTCTGCTTTAGCACCATATTTATATTCATGTATTCCCTTATGCATTCCCATTCTGTATAGAATTTTTTATTGGAGAAGACCCTGATGGATGCCGTCATTTTTGCCATTATGTATTCTGATAGGTGTCCAAGATGAAATATTATCTGGAAGCAGCACCACGGACAGAATAAATGCCACACACAGGAAGAGCAAGGATGTCGTTGGAGTGCCTCACTTGCAGTTTTACAAATCATTTAATGTGTCAATACAAAGGGAAGTTGTTAATATTGCAGTTGTTGCATAAGGGATTATTATTATGGCTGGAATGTAATTGAAATTAATCAGATTTTGGAACACAGAAATAAATAAAATCATCAAACCATCAACTCTATCATGCAGGGGGCCACCTCATCTAAATTATATAATTTGGTTGAATGGCTGGTATTACAAATTGTATTATAAATTGGAATTGTTATAATGAGGCTATTATTGGATCGTGGTTGAAAACTAATAAAAATATTATAAAAATGATGGAATATTATCTTGACCGTGGTCTTTTCTAGGTTCTTGTAAAGCCATCCAAGTTGATGGCCATCGCTGCCTGTTGTGGCAAGGAGTTCCGTAGTTTAACTATCTGTTGCATGAAGAAGAATGTCCTTTAGTCCATTCTGAATCTTCCAACCTTCCGTTCGGCGCCTACGGGTTCTAGTCTTTTGAGAGAGGAGGAGAAGTTTTCTCCATGATTTTACAATGTCACCTCTTCCTCTCCTTATCTCTAAACTAAAAAGAGAGGAAGGGAAACTTTTCTCTGTCTGCTTTCTGTTCTCTGTGTGCATACATTTAAAATACGATAAGAGGAATAAGAGCATTGCAAAAAATAAGCTCACCTGCCCTGTGCCAGCAGCTGCAAAGGCGAAGAGAGAGCCCAGGGCCAGCCAAAACGTCTTCATGGTTGCCAGTTTGACTCTGTTTTCAGAGCCTAAAGCTGGAGAGATGTGGACATGAGGAGTCCAGGAATGTCCCTCCCTCTTTCTCTGGCCCTGGACCTTGACTCTTCGTTTCCAGTAAATTTGAGGGGGGTTAGACAAGCGGGAAATCTCTGCCATGAGGACCTGTTAGCAAAAACAACTTAACAACTTGCCCCCACCTGTTGAGCTCCACAGTTCTTTCTTTCTTTCTTTCTTTCTTTCTTTCTTTCTTTCTTTCTTTCTTTAGTATTTATATACTGCGAAAAGTCAAAGCGTTGAACAAAAATAAACATAAAATAAAACCAAAGTAAATAAACCACAGGCATGGAAGGCAGTGACTGGAGCTATTTATGGTTAAACAAGACAGAGATACAAAACATGGACCCTATTATACCAAGGGAAAGTACTGAAAGTATTCAAATGCCCTAAATCACTCTTATCAGCCATCTATGTGATGCTTAAAAGTATACAGTGGTACCTTGGGTTACATATGCTTCAGGTTACATACGCTTCAGGTTACAGATTCCGCTAACCCGGAAATATTACCTCAGGTTAAGAACTTTGCTTCAGGTTGAGAACAGAAATCGTGCTCCGGCAGCACGGCGGCAGCAGGAGGCCCCATTAGCTAAAGTGGTGCTTCAGGTTAAGAACAGTTTCAGGTTAAGAACGGACCTCCAGAAAGAATTAAGTACTTAACCCGGGTTAGCACTGTATAATGAAGGAGTCAGACAAACCTCCCTGGGGAGAGCATTCCCCAAACGGGGAGCCACTGCAGAAAAGGCCCTGCTCTCGTGTTGCCGCGGGCGTTCAAGTTTCTGGTTGAAGTTGATGGGAACTCTACTCCAAAACATCTGGAGGGGAAATATAAAGCCAGACCCCCACCCAAACTAGCGGTATTGAACATTTCCCCCTGGAACAACATAGGTTTAAAAAGCAAAGCTAGCAGCAGTGAGGCTGAGCATTGCACAATTCAGGAGATATGAAAGGCAGTTACAAAAGCTTGCTGGTTCAGCAAAATATGGAGCATTGCTTTAGTGGGAAAATGGACAAAGAAATTAAGAATGGCCAGGGGGAAAATGAAAGTCACATTTAACTCTGAAAGGCTTTGATTTTGCTATGTACATCAAGAAATCTGACTTTTTTGTAGGCTTAAAGGTAGCGGGGCGAAAACGCCATTGTTGCAAAATGCTGATCTTTGGAACTTTTGACTGTTTGTTCATGCTGTAATACATATAATGGCCACAATCATGCCAGATACCAGAAACAGATCAAATAAAACTACGGGGGGGGGGGATCTTATAAGTAGAACGTTATCTAATGACGCACCTTGGGAGGCTTGGCCAAACAAAAATGTTTTTTAGGAGGCGCCGAAAAAAAGTACAGTGAAGGCACCTGGCTGGTATCAATAGGAAGGGAGTTCCAAAGTGTTTTAGTGCTGCCACAGTAAAAGATCTGAGTTCTTACAAATGAGGAACGGGGGTCATGTGGAAATGATAACAGGGCCAATTCCGCCACTCAAAGCGGCTGAATGGGAGCCTCCAGGGTAAAGTGATCTTGCAGGTAAATTGGTCCCAAGTTGTATACTAATGGTATACCCTCCAACATGTCACGACAAAAAACTGGGACACCATCTTCCATGAGATTGCAAACCGCCCCCCCCCCAAAAAAACGTGCTTGGCAGGGCACGACACCCAAAAACACATGTTTTAGGGGTGCTCTATGAAACCACGGCTCCGGGAAAAAAGGGTGAAATCATGGCATGAGATTGCGGCGGCCAAAATCCCCATGTTTTTTCGGGGGGTGTGTGTATGTGACAGGATGTCCCGTTTTTTCCGGGACAGTTGAGGGGTATGTAATAATAACACCTTGAACTTGGCCTAGTAGCAAATAGTCAGCCAGTGCATTATCTCTGAGCACAGACGTCATCTGTTGACAAGGCCTTGGATCATGTCAGCAATCGTGCTGCAGCATTCTGTGAAGGCTCCTCCGTGTCAGAACGTTCCCTCTCAGGATAGTTGGTTCCTGGTAAATGGCAAATGGCCAAATGGCAGAGGTCTCATTGTGGAATCGCTTGCCTCCCTTGAGCTTGGGAAAGGCATCATTTCCATCTTCTCTGTGGGTTCCACTCGGTACAGACTCTCTCCTGTTTCGATTATGAACTTCTAACAGGTCACCTCTTCCTCGCCTCACATGCATGTAACCTTCCTTCCTTCCTTCCTTCCTTCCTTCCTTCCTTCCTTCCCTCCCTCTTTCCCTTCCTCCCTCCCTTCCTTTTCCAGCAACTAGTACAGTAGAACCTCGGTTCTCAAATGACTCCATTGATGAACGTTTCGGAGCCTCAGTGGCGTAGCGTGGGTTGTCAGCACCCGGGGCAAGGCAAGTAATTTGCGCCCCCTAACCCGTGGATTTGCGCCCCCTAACCCTAACCCCCAGATGTTGCGCCCAGTACAGCCGCCCCCCCTGCACCCCCCACGCTACGCCACTGCTAAGGGGACAAGGAACACGCGTGGGGTGGGTGGAGAAGGATGTGGCTAATAATGCAGGGGGGGGGGTCTAAGGGGAAAAGGAGCTCGCATGGGGTGGGTGGAGAAGGAGCTTTTCGGAGAGCTGAGGGGGGAGGGGGGAGGGAAAGAGCACTGTTGCTTTAAAGGAGCCAACCGGACAGCAGCCACTTACAGCAGTGTAAGCAGCTCCTTTCCACTCCCGCTTTGCTCCTTCTCTCCCTCTTTGCTGCTTTACACAGCTAATGGTGAATCCCCTGCAACCCAAGTCCTGCTCAGCGGATCAGCTGAGATGCTGGGAGAATTGTAATTTCCCCCTCTCCCTCATCCCGTGCCCTCCTGTCCCCAGCAGCCTTTTAAAAAACTTTTTTACTGGTTTTCACTGCGCTCGTGGCTCAGAGCCCTCCTGTGCCCTGCCGTCCCTCTGCAGCCTCATTGCTCCGTTTAGAGAGCGCACGGACCTTTGCTAGCTGAGGCTGCAGCAGCTGTTGCTGGCTACGCAGCGCTTTTTCCGGCTCGCTATGGCTCCCGTCTGTCCCTCCTCGCGTGTAAGCGGCTGCTGCCCGCTTTGCTGGCATGGCTCTCCTTCCCTCCCTCCTCCTCAGCTCCACCCCCTCCTCCTGGCTGTAAAGCAAGCATGAGTGCATTCGCTCTGTAACACGCACAGGCATTTTCCCTTCCTTTCTAGGAGCAAAAAAGTGTGTGTTTTGGAGCGAAAATTACGGTAATTCCCAGCAAGCAATTAGCAGGCTCGCTCCACCTCCCCCTCCTCCCGGCTTTGCTGCTGCTGCTGCTGCTGCTGCGCGGCTCTTTTCCTCCACCGACGGCGCGCTGCGCTTTGGAGAGGTTCCCGCTTCCTCGAGGGGGCCGGCCAAACGCGCCCCCCCAAATGTTGCGCCCGGTGCGGCCGGCACCCCTGGCACCCCCCACGCTACGCCACTGCGGAGCCTGAATGCAAAAAAACCCCAGAAGTAAATGCTTCCGTTTTCAAACATGCCTCAAAAGTTGAATGGCTTCCGCTGCGTGTTTTCCAATTTTCTCACTTGAATTTTCTGACAGATTACGTTTGAAAACTGAGCTTCCACCGTATTCAGAATTTACTGCCTCCAGGACGTGGCATTTTTCCTGGTGCAACTAAAGACAATAGCGGGGGGGCTTTGGGGTTTTATTCCTCCCCACGGTCTGAATGAGCCAACCTGTCCATCTCCAATTTTCATATCCAGGAGTGCAGAAAGTGAAAACAGGTCTGGCAGCACCAACCAAGCCCCGAGGAGGCAAAGCAAGTCATCTAGACAGCCAAAAAGCCTCTGATGAGTTGTGGCTTGTTGGAAAAGGTTACAGCTGTCCTTCCTCAGAGAAAGGAGGCAGGTGACAGGCTGAGGAAGTGATCCAGGACTAGATATTTAACGGGGGCAGTTGTTAAAAGGGTAAAGGGACCCCTAACCATTAGGTCCAGTCGTAGCCGACTCTGGGATTGCAGCGCTCATCTCGCTTTACTGGCTGAGGGAGCCGGCGTACAGCTTCCGGGTCACGTAGCCAGCATGACTAAGCCGCTCCTGGCGAAACCAGAGCAGCACACGGAAACGCTGTTTACCTTCCTGCCGGAGCGATACCTATTTATCTACTTGCACTTTGACATGCTTTCAAACTGCTAGGTTGGCAGGGGCAGGGACCTAGCAATGGGAGCTCACCCCGTCATGGGGATTCGAACCGCCAACCTTCTGATCGGCAAGTCCTAGGCTCTGTGGTTTAACCCACAGCGCCACCCGCGTCCCTCTGTTAGAAGAGCTTTACTCCCCACACCAAGCGACAATTCCCAGAGGGGATAATAAAATCATAGAATGGTAGAATTGGAAGAGACCCCCACCCCCAAGGGTCTAGTCCAGCCGCCGGTGATGCAGGAGTCTTAACTAAAGCATCTATAAGATGACATGGACGGGTTGGATTGTCATGGTCTGGTTCATGGGCGATCGAAGTCCCGGCTGGGGACATCAGGACCGGGGGCAAGATGGCGGGGTGGGAGCAGGAACGGGAGTCCAGAAGCCAGGAGTCGGGAAGCCAAGAGTCCAAGGGTCAGAGAGCTGGGAGTCAAGAAGCCAAGGGACAAGAAGCAAGGAGTCACAATGGCAGGGGTCCGAGGATCAAGGATCAAGGAGTCACGAAGGCAAGCGTCCAAGGATCAAGAAGCAAGGAGTCACGAAGTCAGGGGTCCAAGGATCAAGGAGTCACAAAGGCAGGGGTCCGAGGATCAAGAAGCAAGGAGTCACGAAGTCAGGGGTCCAAGGATCAAGGAGTCACGAAGGCAGGGGTCTGAGGATCAAGGAGTAAGGAGTCACGAAGACAGGGGTCTGAGGATCAAGGAGTCAAACGCAGCAAGGCAGGGAACGTGTTGCTGTGGCAAAGAGCTGAAGGGAAATGCTGACCTTATATCCCTTCCTGGCTCTTGCCACCAGGTGCTGTGAGTTACCAATCGGCCTCACCTGTGAGGCCACACCTTGCCTCTTCAGAACAAACTTAGGAAGGCCCCAGTCCTGGTCACAGGGCCTGGCTCCTGCACACACACCTGACATGGATGCAGAGGGATGGGAAACCCCCCCCCCCAGGGAAGAAAGCTCAGAGCCCAGGGAGGGGTGGTGGGATGATGATGGGTGGTCAGAGGGAGAAGACGGAAGAGGAGGTGTTGGAATCTGAAGAGGCAACAGGGTTTAGTGAGCGGGAGGAGTCTGTGGCAGAGAGCAGTCCAGACTTTGCAGAGTCAACCTCTAAGAATCAGTGCCCCGAATGAGATCTTTGGTAGAGTCAAATGTTACAGCAGCCTTGTAACTACATCCAGAAAAACATGGCCGCCCCTGTGTCTGCACAGGCCTCTTGGGAAACTCAGAAACAGGGGTGACCTGTCAAGGGGCAGCAGAGAAGCGCCGTCTCTCTTCAGCTGTAGCTCAGGGGTAGAGTATCTGCTTTGCATGCAGGTTCAAATCCTGCTGGAATCTCCCAGTAGGGTTGGGAGAGGCTCATGTCTGAAATCCTGGAGAGCTGTTGCCTGTCAGTGTAGACAATAGTTAGCTTGGGGGACTGGTCGTATCTGACTCGGTATAAGGCAGATTCCCATATTCCTTAATATGGGTCCCAGGATCAGTTCCCAGCTTACCTGGAGAAAAGAGTCTCAGCTGGCAGGTGAGAAGAACGACCCTTTCTCAGCTGCTGCCAATCAAAGTATATACCGGGTGCCATGGCCTGGTTGGACACAGAGGAATGGGGGGAGGAACCAGCTGGGGAACCCCCCGGGGGAGAAGGCTCAGAGCCCAGGGATTGGTGGTGGGATGATGAAGAGTGGTCAGAGGGAGAGGAGGAGGTATCGGAAGCTGAAAAGGCAACAGGGCTTAGTGAGCGGGGAGAGTCTGTGGCAGAGAGAAGTCCAGAATTAGAAGCAGAAGCTGAAGCAGGAGAGGCGGGAGACCAAGAGGCAGAGATGGGTCTGGCTAGTGCAGAGTCACGTGTGTCTCCTCCTGCTGCTGTGACAAGCTCTCCTCCTGCCTTGCCTCCCAGAACTAGGAGAGGCATGAACAGGGCGGAGGAGAGGTTGGCACATGCGGGCGCAGTCTTCCCTGTGTGGTGGCAGGGTCCTCCAATCTCAGCAGCTGCTTCACGGGGGCAAGACCTGCCAGAGCTGAGTGGCTGTGCTCATTTGGCCTGACGCTCCTGTCCAGATCCTGCTTTTGCTCATAAACAGTCAACTCCCAACTCTGGGAAGGGAATAGGGGTTTCACAACCCCTCTCAGAATCACAATTCTTCGGGGGAAGCCATTCATGGAAGAGGAGAGAGCTATGGATGGACCCTAGCCCTGGTGGCTCTGCTCAGCCTTCCGAGTCAGAGGCAGCGATGCTTCAGATTCCCAGTTGCTGGAAACCGTAGGAAGGGAGAGGGCTCTTGTGTTCGAATCCTGTTTGTGTGTTTCCTACAGGTATCTGGTTGGTCATTCTGAGGACAGGAGGATGGACTGGGTGAGCCATTGGCCTGATCCTTATGTTCTTTATATATATATGTATATGTAATTTTTTATTAAATTTTATTTTACAACACAAACGCACACACTCATGCAACTAAACATAAAAATAATAAAAAACAAATAAAGAAAAACAAAAAACTGAAAATGAAAAAACAATTATCAAAGTAATATACAGAAACTTATACAAAACGAATAATAAACAATATGTATATACCACATTTCAGTTCTTCTTTCTTCCAATTGATTTCCTTCATCCTCAGCACGGTTCTATTTGTATTTTTGGTAAACCATTTCCATTTTCTTTCTTACCCCTTTCTTATGTTTTTAACTTTTACGCCATAATTGTTTTGCAGAAGTTAATCGAAACAAGTCCAAGTATTAATTTGAGGGCACTGCTTTTTAAGGTATTCGCTATATTTTCCCCATTCTTTTTAGAATTTTTGCTTGGGCTGACCCCCAATAGACTCTGTCAATTCAGCCAATTCAATATAACTAAATAATTTGCCTTGCCATTCTTTTTTTTTTTGGGTGTTCTTGCAGCCCTGATCCTTATGCTCTTATGACCGTTTAAAGGTGTATCCTAGAACTTTAAACATATGGTGTGAATGTGGCCTAAGATGAAGCAGTAAGGTTTTTCTGAAGAACTCTTGTCATTTGTATCCATCAAGATGGCGTAGCCCAATCATCTGTTGGGGTGATCTTTGCCTGGTGGAGCTGGAAATTCTGGGGTTCCGTTTCCCCCCACAAACAGCACCATGGAGGTGATCTCCGGTTTGCAGGACTGCTTCAGGGGAACACAAGGGTGTCCAAAACGCCTCTCCAATGATGTATCCAAGCCAGGAAATTGCCTGGCACAACAGGCAGAGAGGGGGGTCTGTGTCTGCTCCTATTACTTCACGGCACTTGAGGCTGAAGACCAGCAGAAAACCACTTTAGTTCCACTTGGGGGAACTGGGTGCCTGCGGAGAAGATCCCGGGACTGGCTGCCAACACATTTTCCTTGGCAATCGTCCTGCACTTTTAACAAACTTCAGACAGGATGCAGAGATTCAGTAAGCAAAGGGGGCTGTCAGAATTCCAGGGTTGGGGATCGGGGAGCAACTCTGTCCCATGTGAGGGGTTTTTTATTGTCTTTTGGTTTGGCCTGCTGTAATAGGAAGCTGAGGTTTGAGGCGGAAGAATCAGGCGAAAAGGTTGACGCCTCTACCGGAGTCACTGCTCATTTCCTCTATCGGTGCCCATCAACTGCGCTGCTCGGAGAGGGCGCAGCTGAGGGCAGCTCATGCCCTTCGTTTAGGTGGGGTTCCTGCATTGCAGGGGTTGGGATAGATGACCCTTGAGGTCCCTTCCAACTCTAAAATTCTATGGTGCTACTAGAAATCGGGCTTCTAGTGTTGCTGCTTCAGTCCCCTGGAATTAGTTCTCAGCTGAAATCAAGTGGAACGCCCAGGAAGAGAAGTTCTCTGTGGGGGGAATCTTTGGCCCTCCAGATGTTGCTGAACTACAGCTCCCATTATCCCCACTTGCCAGGCCTGATGGGAGTTGTAGTTCAGAAACATCTGGAGGGCCAAAGGTTCCCCACACCTGACCCAAAACACCTATGAACCTCGTGACTGCCCCCCATCCTCTAACTGGCTCCTTAAAACAGAACTTAAAACTACGTATCAGGACATTCTCCACAATTTTCATTCAGAGAATCTCACAAAATGGTTACACAAACTGTTTGCATGTAAATTTTTTAATGATGAAAATAAATAAAATATTTCAACAATCAAACAAACACCTACGAGCTGCCCAGAAGCTGCACACGCCCTCGAAAATAACCCTTCCAAGAGGCACAGATATTTCCCCAACTTCATTTCTTTATTATTCAAGTTCATTTCTTTAATATTCATATTTATAGCCACCCCTCTCCACAAAGGCTCTGGGCGGGCATGTTAACAGCCACACCTAGAAGCAAAATACCCATATAAAATATTGATTCTTTGAAAAATATAAAAGCAACACGTTTTAAAAACACACGTTGACCCTGAATTGTCGCCAGCCAGCCGAGGCCTGAATATAAACACAAAGAAAGGGCTTCACTGAGCCTTAAGAGGAAGAGAGCTTGGCCCCCACGGCAAGGGGGTGCCCCCCCAAACCCCAGTCTCTGGGCTGTTGTAACTTGGATGGATGGTGCATTTAAGGGGGGGCATTCTCAGCCTGAGAAACGACGACGGGGCACCCTCAAGACGGAGGACCTAAGCTCAAATGGCATCCAAAAGATTTTGCCAAGCAGCTCCAGAGAAATGACGAAGAAGCAGGGGCAGGAATGTGGGGAAGGACCCCGGAAGCAAAATGGCGCCCACAGCAGCCAACTGGGCTGGCAGCCGAGCCTGACCAGCTGGAGGGGTGAAGGGCAAGATGCACGGCCACCAATAGTTTGCCGCCTGCCCCTGCAGCGTCCGCCGCCTGAGGACAGGCCCCGCCCAGGGCAAAGAGCAAGAGGAGCAAGCCAACCGCTGCCACCCTCTGCCAAGAACCGTGTCAGGGGTTGTCATTGTGCTGCTCGCAGCTCCCTGTGGAGTGGCACCCCCCACGATGCCCCGGGCCGGGTAAGGTTTCCGTGCCCCAGTTCCCCACCCCTCTGGGAAGCCGGCTTTCTCTCTCGCCCCTCAGGGCCCCCGAGCCAGCCAGAGGCTCCCGTAGGCCCGGTGCCCAGGCATAGCAGCAGGAGGGGTGCCGGGAGCCAAAGCAGAGGTCCGCCGCCCACCGGGTCCTCCGGAACGTCCCAAAGGGAACCCTCCTGCGTTGTGAAAGCGAGGAGCAGAAGTCCGGCAAGATGGTGATCTGCGCGCCGGAGTAGCTGAGGGGCCTCCCGCGGGCCGCCTGCAAAATGGCCGCCCTGTCTCCTGAGCGCAGGAGCTGGAGCACCAGGGGCCGGGGCCTGCCGCTGGGGTCCCAGGAGGCGCCCCCTTGCACCCGGCGGGCGCTCTCGATCTCCAGGGGCGGGGCTTCCAGGGGCAGGCCCAGCAGGGTGGGCAGAGTCTTCTGCAAGAAGGCGACCGGGTCACTGCCTTCGCTCCCCTCCGGCAGGCCGAGGACGCGCAGGTTGTTGCGGCGGGAGCGGTTCTCCAGAGCGCGGAAGCGCCCCTCCATGCGCCGCACGCACTCGCTCAGGCTGTGGTTCTCCATGCGCAGCGCCGCCAGCTCCAGGACCCAGCCCCGGGCATCCTGCTCCAAGCGGTCCACGTGGCTCTGCAGGCGGGAGACGTCCCGGCAGACGGCGCTCATGTCCGCAGAAAGGCGGTCCAGCTTCTTCGACAGCGCCGGACCTATGCCGTCTTCAACCTCAGGGCGGCGTTCCTGAGGATTCCCGTTCCCCCAGGTGCAGAGGACCGGATTCGGGTCGACACTGAGACACCTTTTCTTGCACAGATTTCCTGACTCGGCATCGCCTTGCAGTTTGCAGCTGTGGGACGAGGTGCCCGGAGTTTGGTCCTCACCTCCCTGTGCTGCAATTGGAGGATTTAAAAAAAGCATGTAAGAAACGGCCCTCGGTTCCTTCTTCCTAGATCTTTTCCTCCGCTATGTTCTGGTGTGGTTGGGTGTAACCCCAATTGTGAAATATGCATCCAGAACCCGTCTTCTACAGCCCAAGTGCCGCACTTAACATTCAGCCTAACTGAGGGTTCTGGAAATTCTGCTCAACATCTTGTGATGTTTTAGATCAGGGATGCTTTTATATGCGGAATATTCATAACAGTGTGCATTGCTGATATTTTCACTGTCTGGTCGCTTCGAGATGATTTGTAGCAGCATTTTCCAAACTTGGGTCTCTGGCTGTTTTGGGACTACAACTCCCATCATTCCTGACCACTGGTCCTGCTAGCTAGGGATGATGGGAGCTGTAGTCCAAAAAGCTGGAGGGTCAAGTTTGGGAAACACTGGTTTACAGGAAGTGATTCATAAATAATACTACTTGGATAGGGGTGCTATTGTTTTGCTGGTTTCAACTATCTTTTGATGAAGGATAATATAAAAATCCATAAAAATCACGGCCCAGGACCCTCGTACCTACGGGACCGCCTCTCCCGGTCTGCCCCGCGGAGGACCTTAAGGTCTATAAATAGCAACACCCTAGAGGTCGCGGGCCCTAAGGAAGTTAGATTAGCTTCCACCAGAGCCAGGGCCTTTTCAGTGATGGCTCCGGCCTGGTGGAACACTCTGTCCCAGGAGACCAGGGCCCTGCGGGATCTGATTTCTTTCTGCAGGGCCTGTAAGACAGAGTTGTTCCGCCTGGCCTTTGGCTTGGAGCCAATTTGATTCCCTCCCCCTCTTTCTTTTTTCCTTTCTCCTCCTGTGAAGAGGCTGCATCTTAATGTTTTAATGTTGTATTTTAATCTTGTTTTTAAGTTGTATTTTAAGCAACATTTTTATTATTGGTTGTTAGCCGCCCTGAGCCCGGTCTTGGCTGGGGAGGGCGGGGTGTAAATAAATTTTATTATTATTATTATTGAAGAACGAAATAAACAGAAGTTGCTTGCTCGTCTCCTGACCTAACTATGTGTGCACGCTATGCATATATCCCAAACCCCCAGATTTTTTAATTTACAGTTCCCGTCAACCTCAGCCAGCCCTCCTTGCTTTTCCATCCAAGATGGGCAATATCCTACCAGCAGACACAACTGAGAAATGATTGACAGGACTGCGATATCTGCCGAGGCTACAAAGGCTGCAGCTTCTCATGCTTCCCGATTCACGGCTGTCCTTTGGGGACTTACCTGCCCCCAGCGACCTTTTCACCCCACTCTTGGGGGAGCTGGAATTGCTCGGCCTCTGAGCACCGAACTTGGAGAGGCAGAAATGCCGCCCGTTCCGCTTGGGGCAGCTGCCCCAGGCCAGAGCGCTTGAGGGGGCGGATCCTGAAAAGAACAACAAGAGACACGGGCCGGCGTGAGCTGAAGGGTCTTCCTGCTGCACCTGCATGTATTTGCTTCCCTAAGATCCGCAAGCGACTTGCAGTGCAAGCTCATTCATGTCTACTCAGAAGTAAGCGTAGGTGCCCCCTAACGGAGAACCCATCAGAAAGTGGAGGCACGAGTTGGACGTAATCAGAGGAAACACTTGGAAAGTAATGGGAAGTATGGATAATTTAGAAGGATTTTTTTAAAAATAAATTTTGATATGCAGTTGTAAATGTTATCATAAGGACCCATGGAAGGGACGGGGGGAAGTCAGGAGATTCAGAGTAATCTTGATATTCGGATTTTACATTGTTTTATATATCTTTTAAATCAAATAAAAAAATTACAAAAAAAGAGACAGACAGCAGTGCTGAAATAACGTTCCGCATAGTGAAGTTTCACTGCCAAATTATAATGTCTGTCTGTTTTAAGGCATTCATTTCCAGTGTAATGGGCTGACAGGTTACACAAGGCAATGTTTACACATGTGCATATCTCCCATCTAGTAAATCAATACCCCACAGCTGGGGGGAGGGGGAATCATAGGAAATGAGTGCGGGACCCCACAACTACAGAGATGGGATTATTAGGCTTTTATATACGCAGTTGGAGGGAAAAGAAAGTTTCATTTCAGACATAACAATTAATTAATTAATGTGGTATGATAAATGGATGCATAATCCTCACTTGATAATATTGGAAATGTTAACTAATGTACGAGCAGGAATTAACAAATGAACAGCTGATGGATTAGGGTGAAAGGGAAAAATGGAATGTGAATTAGAGACAACTATGAAATATAAGCAGCAATAAGGGTTAATTATGGAAACATCTAAGAAGTTGGCGGGAAGTTGATTTTTGGGGGGGGGTTGTATTAAATTTGCTCGATTTGTTATGAGTTTGTTAAAAATTTGGTAAATTTGTTAATTAAAAAAAAATAGAAGAAACCATTGGCAAAAAAAATCAAATCCCCATGCTTGGCCATGAAGCTCACTGAGTGACGTTGTGGGCCGGCCGCTCGCTCTCAGCCTGACCTACCTCTGTTTCAGTGTATGGAATTCTAAGAAAAAATGGAGAATATTATATGATGCCGTTGAAAAAAATTGACAATGGAACCCATAGAGGGGTGGAGGGAAGGCTAAGGATTCAGGGAATTCTATATGTTTATGATTAGGACTACTGTTTGAATAGGAATGTAAATTATAAAACCGAATTTAAAAAATTATTTAAAAAATAAAATAAAAGGGGACTGGATAAATTTAAGGAGAAAGCTATCGATGGCTGCCAGCTCCACGGTCAGAGGCAGCAATGCTTCTGAACTCCAGAACATAGCTGTCAACTCTTCCCTTTTCTTGCGAGGAATCCTATTCGGAATAAGGAAATTTCCCTTAAAAAAGGGAAACAATGACAGTTATGCCCCAGAATACTACGCAGAAGGGGAGAGTGTGTTCTTAGGCTCAGATCCTGAGCACATCCAGTTGGCCCCTGTGAGAATGGGACGCTGGACCACTGGCCTGATCCTGCAGGCTCCTCAGAGGATTTTAAGTCTCTGCGGCTGCTGCACCCCTCCTGCTTTGCCAGAGGCCGTGTCGACTCACCTTGGTGCCCCCTGCCAGCCTCGGGGGTCGGGCTCCTGTGCCCAGCCACTCTCTGTGGACTGCTCAAGGGCGTGGTGGCCGGGCCGTCGCTGCCCATCGACCTTTCCTTCAGGCGGCTCCTCTGACCTGTTGGAAGCTCTGCAGGGGAAGAATATTGGGCTCAGACTTTTTTGCACCCCAAGATCTGTTTTGGCAGCGGGCTATCATTGATTTAAATCAGGGGGTTGCCAACCTTTTTTGACCTATGGGCATGTATGGGTTTTTAGTGTGTGTCAACGGCACATGGTTATTTCTGTCCCTCCTACCAGGGATTGACCCCTCCCCACACCACAGAGAGAGAGAGAGAGTCAGAGTCAGAGAGAGAAAGAAATAAAAAGAGAGAAGGAAGGAAGGAAGGAAGGAAGGAAGGAAGGAAGGAAGGAAGGAAGGAAAACATAACACCGGTGCTTAAAGACCTACATTGGCTCCCAATATGTTTCCAAGCACAAATCAAAGTGTTGGTGCTGACCCTGAAAGCCCTAAATGGCCTCAGCCCAGTAGACTTGAAGAAGCATCTCCACCTCCATCATTCAGCCCAGACACTGAGGTCCAGTGCCGAGGGCCTTCTGGCGGTTCCCTCACTGCGAGGTTACAGGGAACCAGGCAGAGGGCCTTCTCGGTGGTGGCACCCTCCCATCAGATGTCAAGGAAATAAATAACTATATGACTTCTTGAAGACATCTAGGCAGCCCTGTTTAGGGAAGTTTTTAATGTTTGATCTTTTAGCGTGTTTTTAATGTTCTGTTGGGAGCTGCCCAGAGTGGCTGGGGAAACTCAGCCAGATGGGTGGGGTATGTATGTATGTATGTATAAATAAATAAATAAATATTATTATTATTATTATTATCATCATCACCATCATCATCACACAAACTTTGTTTTTCAAGGGATCTGAGTCAAAGTTTGATCCGATAGAATCTGTGCCTTGAAAACCACACAGAGAAAAAAACAGAATGTGGGAAAGAATATCTCTCTTCCCCATTTCCTCTATCACCTCTTTCTACTTTCCTCAGCCCTTCACAAATAAAGGGGTGATGTAGGTGCTCAGGGGGCTTTCTGGGCACCAGCGGGAGATGCCCAGGGTGCCACGGCACCTACGGGTGCCATGTTAGTAACCACTGGTTTAAGTGTACACCTGCCCTACCCAGAATGCACAGGACAGGTGACACCACCTGCCTCCACCACCATTGCCTGCCTTTGCCACTGCCTTGCCAGAGGTGCAACCCGGGAGGCTCACCTTCCTGGGCTGCCCTCCTGGCCTCCGCCTCCTCTCCCTTGGCACGTCTGCACCTCGGTTCTCCCCGCGTGCTTCTGGCCAGGGAATTGCTGGACGACGGGCTGCAGGGACTGGGGCCCCGAGCAGTGATCTCCTTCAGGCACCTGAGCAGGCCCTGGAGAGGGCTGCTCTCACTCGCCCCTTCTGCGCAGAGAAAGGCAAAAAAACTATTACAAGGCGGGTCCCAAAATTCAGTAAATCCGAAGGCCTCCGTTACGGAAGGCCGGCAGCTCCTGAGCGGCAAATTATTTAAGTGCATGCCACTTTCTTCCCTAGCATCCTTCTCCAGAATCCAGCTTTCCTACGTGGCCTGTGGACAGATCTTTTCCCCAGCTGTAATGACCACAAATCTTATGGCAGGAGCAGAGGAGGCTTTCAGGGCTGCTAGCTGGCATCACTATGCTCTGCCCAGGGCTGGATGAAGACCTGTAGAGGCCCTAAGCGCTCTGAAGATTTTGGTGTCCCCATATATATCAAATTGAAAATATAAACCATAATAGACCATCATATAAAATGTTGTTTTTCGAGTGGAAATTTGAAAGAAGGAATACAAAAATCAATGTCAGAGAGAAAAAGCTAATCCAAATAACAACAGAGGCCAGAAAAGGAAAGAAAGAGATAGGAAGATAGAGAAAGGATAAAGGAGGAAGGAAGAAAACAAACAGGAAAAAAAGAACTTCTGATTTCTTCATCTGTCAACTATATATAAAAATCCAGTCCAACAACAAGTCCACTTTCTATAGACCAGTATTATATTCAGTCCTCAAAACCAAATATCACAAGTTCATTCTCTCTTTCACGCAAGAAAGTCTATATATTTCCAGTCTTGACCATGACTTCTCTCCGATTAAACATGTCAACTTGGATGTGCCATTTTGGAAGCTTACAAAAGCTACCCTGGCCTCTGGCGCCAGGACGCTCCAGAAGAGACCCTCACCTTCCTCGGCCGAAGAGACGCTCGCCTGCGCTTCCCTTTGCTCCGAGCTGCCCTGGGCCTTGCTGGGGAGCGGATGGAAGCGACAAGGAGGGTTGGCGGGCCTTTCAGCCAGGAGATTCGCCAGGCCTTGGAGGCAGGAGCTGCTCGGTGTCCGTTTCCTCGCAGCTGCAGGAGCAAAAACAGGGGGAGTCACATTTGAGCATCTTGGCGGCAGAATGTCCCTCTCTCCACCCTCTGCCGATCCGGAGACGAGGGAAGGGCCAGCGCAAGACATTTTGCCGCCTAAGCATAGCTGTCAATTTACAGATTTGAAAATAAGGGACCAGCAGCCTCGAAAATAAGGGATCAGCAGCCAAAATAAGGGCTTTTCTGGGCATAGGTATGTTCGACTTCTGAGCCCCTCCGAGCCAAAGGCAGAAAGCCCAGCCAGAAGCCAAACGAAGCCTCAAGCAGTGGTTCCTCCACAGCGCAGCAACCCAGCAAAGGGGATGCAGCAAGGAAAACCACCGTCACCTCTCCGCTGGGAAGCGCTGAGCAAAGGCTAGTCCCCAGGCAACGCAGCCGATTTGATCGGCACAAGGCATGCAAGCTCCACCCCCCCCAGTCGTTCTTAGACTCCTTATTGGGTGAGAAACACAGCCAAGCAACACGGTTGGAGCCTCCCTCCTCCCTGACCGGCAGGGAGGGAGGGAGAGGAGCTGCTTCCTTTGAAACCCGGGAAATTTAAGGGACATCATCAATAAGGGACAGCAGCGGGACACGGCGCTGGGATAAGGGACTTTCCCACCAAATAAGGGACGGTTGACAGCTATGCGCCTGAGGCAAATCAGAAAATGGCATCCCCCAGGAATTGCAATTGGTTAAAGGCGGCAAGAAGCACGGTGTTTGATGCCTGCCAGTCCCACTTCTGCTGCAGCCTCCTCTGCCCTATGGCAGCCTCTGCGGGGAAGCTGGAGACTGAGGCAGATGGAAGCGACCCAGGTACCCAGCAGGCACAGAACCCTGCAAAGGTGCATGAGGACTGGCCCCTCTTTCCTTGCCAGGTTTGCTGCCAGGCTAATGGGTGGACCAGCCCTGAACGAGGGAGGCAGCTGAGATGCAGAACTGACCAAGGCTCTCTTGGGTATTGCAAGATCCGGCCTGCTTTGGAATATGGAGTCTGTGTGGATGCAGAGACTTGTGTGTTTCAACATCCCCGTTATTACATTATCATTAAATGTATGACCTGCTTTTCACCAGCAGGTCCCAGGGGGAGGGATAAAACCATTTATAGTTTTTACATATATATATATATATATATATAATCAAATTTTCTGTTTTACATTTATTCATTTAAGCATCCTTAAAATATCCTTAAAAATTTATTCATTTAAGCATCCTTAAAATATCAAAAACTTCCCTTCCTCTCTTTCCATGGTTCATTTTGCATAGCATAAATCCCTGCATATTTTACATAAACTAAACCATTCCGTAATCCATTATTCCATCCATCAAAACTTATTTACACTGTTGAATTTATCTTAATGCTGCCAGTATTTTCAAGTGTACATGATTTCCCCCATAAACATTTCCCAATCTTCTCTAAACATATGTGCTTTTTGTTCTTTGGCTCTATATGTTAAGTTCGCGAGCTGCGCGTATTCCATCAGCTTGAGTTGCCATTCTTCTTTAGTTGGGACCTCGCTCATTTTCCATCGGAATAAAACCATTTTAAATTAAGAACAGTTAAAACAGATTGTATACATATGTGGATAATATATGTTACTATTTGACTTCACTGCTCCCTTGTCTCCCGAGAGAGATGGATGCCAACCAACCAGATCTTACTAATAATAGCAAGTGACAGGATAGCCATCTTCGAATATCTGAAGGGCCGTCGCATGGAGGAAGGAACAAGCTTGTTTTCTCCTGCTCCAAAGTGTGGGACCCAACCAACGGGTTCAACTGGCAAAAAAAGGAGATTCCAACTAAACCCCAGGAAGAATCTTCTGGTGACAAGAACTGCTGGTCAGTGGAACGGTCTCCCTTGTGAGGTGATGGACTCCCCCTCCTTTTCAAGCAGAGGCTGGATGGTCATCTCTCAGGGATGCTTCAGCTGAGATTCCTACAGCTCTATGATTTACTGCACTGCTCTGTTTTCATTGCTAACAGGCATTGTTTTCAGTTGTGATAAGTATATTATCTCAGATTGTGCTGCTCTCTCACCTTCCGCCTGGGGATGCTGAACACGGCCTTCCACGTTCCTCTCAGGCGTTCCACCGAAGGAGTCCTGGGCTGGTGTGCTGGGAGGACTCGGGGTACTGGCTGCCGCTGGATCTTTCGGACCAATCTGTGGGTCGTGGGAGAGGTTGTCATCTGCTGGAGGATCTGCAAAGTTGCACATTCTCATCAAGCCCAGGAATGGATTCCTGCCTGTGTGTATGTGTTTTAACTGATGGTTTTTTTATCATTTAATTCTTTTTGCAAACAGCTTTGAGGTTTTGTAACAGTAAAGCGGTATATAAATCTTGTGAAATTGGGGGGTGGGGTGGGGGGAGCTTCGATGCACCATTAGAGTGCTGGACTAGGACCTGGGAGACCAGGGAAAAGTAGCCATCTTTGAGTTCTCTCCCTCCTTGACGCAAACCCCCAAGAACTGAAGCTCAATCCAGATAGGACAGAGACCCTGTTGGTGAGAGGTTCCCTAGTCCAGATGACTGGGAGGTCGCCTGCTCTGGATGGGGTTACACTTCCTCTGAAGGAGCAGGTTCATAGCCTGGGGATCCTCCTGGATCCTTTGCTGTCGCTCGAGGCTCAGGTGGCCTCAGTGGCCCAGAGTGCCTTCCATCAGCTTTGGCTGGTGGCCCAGCTACGCCCCTCTCTGGACAGGGATAGCCTAACTACTGTTGTCTATGCTCTGGTATCCTCAAGGTTAGATTACTGCAATGCGTTCTACCTAGGGCTGCCTCTGAAGACTGTTCAGAAACTTCAGCTGGTGCAGAATTCAGCGGCCAGGTTGCTCACTGGAGCAAGACGGTTTGAGCATATAACACCGATCCTGGTCCAACTGCACTGGCTACAGATTAGTTTCCAGGCCCATTTCAAAGTGCTGGTTTTGACCTATAAAACCTTAAAGGGCTCAGGACCACAATACCTTAAGGACCGCCTCTTTCCCAGGCCCTGAGATCATCTTCTGAGGCCCTTCTTCATGTGCCTCCTCCACAAGAGGTCAGGAGAGAGGCAACACGAGAACAGGGCCTTCTCTGCAGTGGCTCCCTGTTTCTGGAATACTCTCCCCAGGGAAGTTTGCCTGGTGCCTTCATTATACACCTTTAGGTGCCAGGCAAAAATGTTCCTCTTTAACCAGGCCTTTGGTTAATGGCCTCCCATGTCCTTGCAAATATGTTTGTGGCGTGGGGGTTATTGGTTTGGATGCATTTTGGGTTTATCTTGTATCTTTATGTTGAGAACCCCACTGAGATTGATAGAGGATGAACAGCACACTAATTAATTAATTAATTAATGGCAAGATCCCTGGTCCCGGGTCAAACCCACCGCCATAAAAGGCTACCCACAGGCTCACTTACTTGTGGGATGTGATCCAACCACCCCTTGCCGGGATCTCCTGGGTACCACATCGCCCGGACTCTTGGCATCACCAGGTGGGATGTTGGAGGGGAGAGGCTGGCTCATGGCGATGCTGTCTAAGCATCTCTCCAGGCCACCGAGAGGGGAGGCCGATGGCGCTCGGCTGCCCATGGTGACAAGCTCTGGTTCTCGGGCAGAAGGAAGCCCCCTTTCCTCCTCGGGAGCAAGCAACGCGCTCTGCAGCCTGGACTCCATCCCCTTCTGCCGCAAAGTCCCTTCCATCTCCGATCCTGTGTCTAGGAAGAACGAAAACACTCCGACTGAAATAAATTAAAACAATTCTTTAAAAAGATAATTGAAAAGACTCTTCTGAAAAACCTAAAAATTCCCTTAAAAGAATCAAGTCTTCAAAAAAGTTATATGATCTCAGAAAGTCTTTAAAAGAATCCTTCCAAAAGAATTTAAAAAATTATAATGTAGCACAGGGGTAGACAACCTAAGTCCCGGGGGCCGGATGCAGCCCAATCGCCGCCTCAATCCGGCCCGCGGACGGGAATCAGCATGTTTTTACATGCGTAGAATTTGTCCTTTTATTTAAAATGCATCTCTGGGTTATTTGTGGGGCATAGCAATTTGTTCATTTATTTTTTTTCAAAATATAGTCCGGCCCCCCACATGATCTGAGAGACGGTGGACCGGCCCCCTGCTGAAAAAGGTTGCTGACCCCTGATGTAGCACCTTAGAGACCAATCGAGTAGTTTTAGGTATATGCTTTCGTACGCATGCACACTTCTTCAGATACACTGAAACAGAAGTCACTAGACCCTTATATACAATGAGAGGGAGGGGAGGGAATGGGTGATTGGCTAATGGGCATGGTAAGTCTGTTAGTGACCGTTAATGACAGTTGGTCCCACAAGAAAAAGAAAAAGGTTTTAAAAGGGTCAGTATGCAGATGACCAAGTATAGATTTAGCCTGTATAATGGGATAAGAATCCAATATCGCTGTTCAGACCAGGTCTCTCCATAGTTTTCAGTTTAGTGGTGAGTTGTAATTTAGCAACTTCTCTTTCAAGTCTATTTCTGAAATTCTTTTGTAATAAGACAGCTACTTTGAGATCTTGTATTGAATGTCCTGGGAGGTTGAAGTGTTCTCCTACTGGTTTCTCTGTCTTGTGATTCCTGATGTCAGATTTATGTCCATTTATCCTTTGGCGTAAGCTTTGGCCTGTTTGTCCAATATAGAGAGCTGAAGGGCACTGTTGGCATTTGAAGGCATATACAATGTTAGAAGATGAGCAATTAAATAGGCCTGAGATGGCATGTTTGATGTTGTTGGGTCCAGTAATGGTGTTGTCTGGGTGTATGTGGCAGCAAAGTTGGCATCTGGGTTTATTGCAGGCTCTGGTACCAGTGTCCATGTTAAGCCTGGTTGTTGTATTATTGTGGGTGAGGAGTTGTTTAAGATCGGGTGGCCGTCTGTAGGCGATGAAAGGTCTTCCTCCCAGAGCTTGAAAAAGAGAACTGTCATTGTCTAGGAGATGTTGCAAATCTCTGATGATGCGTTGAACTTTTTAAAACCTGAGGGCTGATAAATCATTTTTAAAATAAAGTATTTTAAAATAGCAGCCTCGCTGCATCCTGAAATGAAAGCTGGCCTTTTCTCTGAGTCCAAGCTGGTTCCTCTCTCTCTCTTATTTTATTTATACTTTTCAGGTTTATACATTTCATTAATTTTACAATCATTTTAACATTTCAGAAATTGACTTTCTGCGGTTCCTTAAAGTTCTTTTTTAAATATCTGCTGCATATCCAAATTCATTTAATTTGCTCATTTATTTATCTACTTTAATTATATACTCTTATGAAACTACAGGTCATTACAACAATCCTGCCAATGTTTTTATCTGTTTGCAATTTATTTGTAAATATTCAATAAACCATTTCTATTATTTCATAAAAAGTTTGTTATCTTGATTTCTTACTCTTCCGGTTAAGTTTAGCCATTTCTGCATATTCCATAAGTTTTTGCATCCCTTCCTCCTTTACTCGGACATCTGCTTCTTCCCACTTTGGGGCAAATAGCATTCTTGCCGCTGTAGTAGCATATATAAATAAATTTCTATACCATTTAGGTAGTTCTGTCCCTATAATTCCCAAAAGAAAAGCTTCTAGTGTTTTTTTACAAAGGTTATTTTGGACATCCTTTTCAATTCATTATATATCATTTCCCAGTAAGCTTTGACCTTACTACAAGACCACCATATATGATAAGAAGAACCTTTTTTCTCTTTACATTTCCAACACTTATGTGATTTTGATTTATGAGTCCACGCTGGTCCTCAGCCCCGCTGCTCAGAATGGATCCATCCCTGTCTTCGTCACCCACCTTGAGCGCAGTCCCACCAGAGGCTGCACCCGGGGCTCTGGCGCTCGCTCTCGCTGCAGCTGGAGGCGGACGAGGAGACGCTGGGCGTGTTCAGGTAACTCGGCCTCTGAATGGGGATCTCCTTCAGGCAACTCATCAGTCGGTCGAGGGGAGAAGCTTCCACCGCGGCCTCCGCTGCCACGGAGCCAGAGGAGCTCGTGGGACGTGGCAGGATGCTGTTTGTGGCGCCGCCTGGAGGGAAGAAAAAGGCGTTTTGAGCAGAGGAAGCAGAGTTGGACCCTTGGCTATCCAGCTCAGTACTGTCTTTCTTTCTTTCATAAATAATTTTTATTCAGTTTTCTGTTTTGCAATTTAATATACTCATTTAAGCATCCTTGCAATATCAATGACTTCCATTCTTCTCTTTCCATGGTTCATTTTTCATCTCATAAATCCCTGCATATTTTACCATTCAGCATTCCATTATTACTTCCATCAAAACTTGTTTACACTGTTGAATTTATCTTAATGCTGCCAACATTTCCAAGCGCACAGTTTCCCCTCATATATTCAATATGCGTCTTCCATTCTTCTCCAAACACATCTTCTTCTTGTTCTCTATATTCTATATGTTAAGTCTGCAAGGTGTGCATATTCCGTCAACTTGAGTTGCCATTCGTCTTTGGTTGGGATCTCACTCGTTTTCCATTTTGGAGCTAACAAAACACGGGCCGCAGTAGTGGCGTACAGAAATAACCTTTTTTGACAAAAAGGACTCTGCTTTTTTTGGGGGAAAGTACTTTTAAACATTTTTTTTCAATTCATTATTATTTCCCAATACTCTTTTACCCTTTTACAGGTCCACCAGCTCAGTATTGATTGGCAACCATCAGTCTTTCTCAGACTTGGGCCCCCGACTGTTTTGGGACTACAATTCCCATCATCCCTGGCCCTGCTAGGCTAGGGCATGATGGGAGCTGCGGTCCAACAACAGCTGAGGACCCAAGGTTGAGAAAGACTACTTCAGCTGGCACTAATGGCTCTCCAGTGCACTGTCTCGCCAGAGTGGTGCATGCTTGGACTACTGCAATGCGCTCTACGTGGGGCTACCTTTGAAATGATCTGGAAACTACAACTAATCCAGAATGCGGCAGCTAGACTGGTGACGGGGGGCGGCCGCCGAGACCATATAACACCGGTCTTGAAAGACCTACATTGGCTCCTGTGATGGAAAAGTTTGACTTTGCTGGGCAGGTTGGGTCCCCAAATGTTTTCTCTAGTTGGGGACAATGTGTTCTGATGTGACCCTTGTGAGATATATTTGGCAGTCCGCCCAGAGACAGTAGTCTGCCCAGAGACAGCCTGTTGATTGGTTAACAGATAAGGATTGGCTGAGCTCAGCCAATCAGTGTAACAGAAGCTATAAAATATATGCCTGTGTTCAGAGAGTCTGTCTGTGTAGTTAGAGAAAGAAGGATTAGAAATGGCAATTAGCTGAGAGAGTGTACAAGCTGTTAACTCTCTGCATCTGTATATAGTAATCTATGTGCGTATTACTGCTTACAACAATAAACACTGGTTGTAGCTTTCAAGCCTCCTGACAGTTGTAACAAACCACTCTTTTAGGTTTGTATTGTTTAGGAGCGGCCCGCCTTTCAGGGTTGTCGTTCTGAGCCCCAACTTTCTCTCTGGGCTCCCAATCATTACTTTTCTTGAAGGGACTGGGTATTACTGCTCCCCCTAAGTCTCCTTCGATGTCATCTACCAAGAGACTTCAGTTACTGTCTTTTGTTTTTCATCTTTAAGGAGCCAGCGTGAATGTGCAGGAACCTGTCTATAAAATCGCTCTAAACAGATCAGCTGTTTAAGCTCATCAACGGTTTTAATTTTACTTCCTTCTGTCCAGAGCTTTATCAATAGGGCCACCCAGTTGGGCCTAAGTCCTTCCTGGTTTTCTCTTAATGTCCCAAAAGGCTTTTCGGCTCTGCTCTGCAGTCAGCCCAAAGCGCATTTTCACTCTTTCTTTAAATGTGAGGTAATCAGAGGTTTCATCTTCTCTTAAATCTGAATATATTCCACATATCTGCAGGCGTAAGTACAGCATCCAGTTTTCCTCAGGAATATTGAAGTCTTTACAGGTCTGTTCAAAACTAAACAGGAATGCCTGTACATCATCACCTTTGACATACTTTGGAAATCTTTATATTCGCTGAGGTAAAATCTCCACCCCCCAACTATGGTTGCGGCAGTTCTGCTCTCAGCTTGATTTCCTCCATTTTTAAAAGAAACGTCTTTTTCATGGGCCACCTTGGCCTCCCTTTCTCTGTATTCTTGGGCTAATCTGGCATCTCTTTCTTTTTTCCTCATGAGCTAATCTGCTCTCTCTCTCTCTGCCATATCTCCATCAGCCTGTATCTGAGCTAACTGAATGCTTCAACTTTATGTTTTTCTTTCTCTGCTTCAGCTTTAGCCAATTCTAATCTTATCCTCATCATTTCCAATTCAGCAATAAGATTCTCCTCAGATGCAGCAGCTCCCTGCACTGGGTCATCCTGAGTCTCTCTGGCTTGGCGCTTGCTGGTCATTTTCTGACAGAAAATTTTTCTCCTTTTAAAAAAATATCCTCAATACTTTATGAAGCTGGTTGTTCTGTATCTGTGGGCACGTTTCTGTGTGGGTTTTAACTTCGTTTCACGGCGCTGCCGCCAATTAATATGCGGCAGGGCAATGGCAATTTCCCCCTGGCGCCATTGGGCCTGCCCTCACTTAAATTTAGTGCACCCACCTCACAGAACACCAATTCCACGAATTCCCACAAACTACCCCAGATTATCTTGTGGGGGACTTGTGTGAGGGCAAACTTAATAATTTGGAGTCTCAGGCAGGATTTGATCAAATAAACAACAAAGGTTTTATTTAACAAAGGCAGTGTTTATGACCCAAGTGGGTGTAAAACCTCGGATACTTCAGATTATAATGTTATTTCACTTCAGTTCTTTCTCAGTTGTTGCACTGCTGTTGCCGCTTAAAATTTTGGGCTCTTAAACAAGGCGGCACTTCCTGTCAGTTACATACTCATGTGTGGTAAAACTTAGTAATTAGGAGTCTCAGGCAGGATTTGTTCAAATAAACAAGAAGTTTATGATATGGGTGGATAAAACTTAGGATACTTGTTTGCAATGCTATTTCACTTCAAGGTTTTCTCAGTTGTTTCACACTTAATACTTTGGTTCTGAACAAGGTGGCACTTTCTGTCAGTTACACACCCCTTAGACAGCCCTACTCCTGAGGTACTCCAAGTAAGAGACCCAAGGGATCACTGGTTTGGGGAGTCTTCTCTTTTCGTAGAAGAATCCCCTCCTGACCAGAATGAGACCTAAGTAGACTATTCTCACAGCTTCTACTTCTCCCGCCTCAGCCTCTCAGTTAATTCCTGGCCTATTACTCTCCCAGGACACCACACACTGTCCTTCACCCTAAGCTCAGAGACCCCTTTCTCTCGCTTGTGATATTTTCCTCAGAGTGGATGTTTCTACCCAGAAGCAACACTCTCTCTCCTCTCACTCCCAACCTACTCCTACTAGACCAGGCATTTCAGGGGCCTAATCCAGCCTGCTGCTCGCTTTAATCTGATTATTTCCTAGGGTAAAATCAGCAACTTCAATGCTTAAAAAAGCTCAAGAACTTTAGGGTAAAATCATAAAAAAGCTCAACAATTTCAATCCTAAAAAGGTCGGCCCTCACGGCCCTTCACTTCATCAAATCTGGCCCTCTTTGAAAAAAATTTGGACACCACTGTACTAAACCATAGGGAGGCAACCTAAGGCCGGGGGCCATATCCGGCCCAATCGCCTTCTCAATCCGGCCCGCGGACGGTCCGGGAATCAGCGTGTTTTTACATGAGTAGAAGGTGTGCTTTTATTTAAAATGCATCTCTGGGTTCTTTGTGGGGCATAGGAATTCGTTCATATTTTTCTTTCCAAAATATAGTCCGGCCCCCCACATGGTCTGAGGGATGGTGGACCGGCCCCCTGCTGAAACAGGTTGCTGACCCCTGCCCTAAAACATCTTGTGGTTCCTCCTCTGATATTTAAAGGTGCCCATCGATGGCTACTAAACAAAATGGCTACATCCTGCCTCTGAAAACCAGTTGGTAGGAATCACAAGCGGGAACAGAACAAGAGGCTGGGTGCTGGATGAGACCAATGGCCCATCTAGTCCAGGATCCTGTCCTCAGGTGAGCGACCAGATGCTGGACCACATGGAAGACTGACGGGATCCAGCAGGCCAGGCTCTTATTCTGAACAAATCTGGAGAGATTAGGGTGGGTGATGGATAGAGGACCGTGTCATGGAAGGGTGTGTCGTTTTAGTTCAGCAAGGGGCCTTTAAAATATGTTTCTGGGTGTGAGGAATTCAAATCTGCTATTATTTTTGGGATTAGACCACATTTAGCTTGGTAAGTCTACACTGGATGGAGAAGCACATAAACTGCCTTTGGCAAACCAAAGAATTTTAGATTTACCTTCTGAAAATGCAAATAATAATAATAATAATAATACTGCTGCAATTACTTGGCAAACCAAAGAATTTTAGATTTACCTTCTGAGAATGCTAATAATAATAATAATAATAATAATAATAATAATAATAATAATGCTGCAATTACTTGGCAATCATTTTAATAGCTTCTATGCAATTTCACACACATTTTACTCACCAAGCAAAACTAAATCATATTAAATTATATTAATATGAATTCCCAAGTCATGCTACCACTTTTTAGCACCCCTCCTTTTCCGAAGTTGAAAACTGAAAAATTAAAACACACCGTAATGTCATGTGAGTAAATTAATTTGGAATATGCAGAAAATACAAAAAGTAAAGGAACCGCAGAAAGAGGGAAAAGGAAGTCAAGTTTTGAAATGTTAAAATGATTGTAAAATGATTGAAACGTACAAAACTAAGATAATAAATAAAATATTATTTTTTTAACGTCACATTCCCTGATGTTCTCCCCAGCCCCGCAGATTCCTCCCTGCTCCTTTCCTTACCTCTGTCCCACAGCCTCTGCAAAGACGCCTCCATCCTCCTGGGCTTCTGGGCAGAGAAGTCACTTCCCGTAAGAACGGCGTTTGGGCAAGAAACCCCACCCAGCGGGATCTCTTTCAAGCACTTCTCCAGGCCTTGAAGGGGTGGGATCCCTGAAGGAAGAGAAGGGCGAGTAGCAGGTGAAAACCAGGTAAAATCTGTTATAGACACAAAATCCTAGAATGGCAGAGTTGGAAGGGGTACCCCAGGGGCCATCTAGCCCAACCCGCTGCAACGCAGGAATCACGATGGGGGGAAAGCCCCGGCTAGCTGCATCTGGAATAAATGGTGCAAAATCGTTTAGGGGTGGGCATGACTGAGGAGCTGAGCCTCGTCTTACCTGCCTCCTTCGCAGGACTTTCTCCTGCACCCAATTTCCCTTGTCCGTCGGAAGAGCTGCTGGCCACAGAGCGGAAGAAGTGGCCGCTCGGGGCGCCAGGGAGCTCCTTTGAGTAGCCCTCCAGCACCATTTGCAAGGGGGTGCCATTTCGGCTGAGACCTATGGCGACAGAGGAAGGAAAGAGGCATTCTTCTGGGTTCACTCTCCAGCTCCCAACAACCCGCTCTCTCAACTTCGCTGCGCTTGAGTTGCGAAAGGAGAGAAGACAGCAACCTTTTATTTTGGGGATTGCAGATCAAGTCCAAGCGGGCGACAGATGGGAAACAGAACCGTTTTTTCATAAGGGGCATCAGGACAGGGGGCACATTTAGAAAAACAAGGAAAAAATATTTATTCTTTTGGTTTTATGACTTATCTTTTATTCTCTGTGTGGCTTATTTAACATACGCCGCTTAGAAAAGGTAATAATTTGTCATATTGTGAATCTCTCCGTGCATAATCGGCACATAGTTGAGCTGTGGAACTCCCTCCCACTGGAGGCATGGATCGGCCACCAACTTCAATGGCTTTAAAGGGGGGTTGGAAAATTCATGGAGGAAGAGAGGGCTATGGAGGGCTCCCAGCCACAATGGCTACTGCTCAACCTCTGGAGAGAGCAATGCTTCTGAATACCAGCTGCTGGAAACCAAAGGAAGGGGAGAGTTGCTCTTTTGCTCAGATCCCGCTTGCGGGTTTCCCACTGGCATCTGGTCCGACGCCGTATGCCCAGCCCTCTTTTAAAGCTATTCAGGTCGGTGGCCATCTCTGCCTCCTGTGGCAGGGAGTTCCACAGTTTAACTCTGCGCTGCACAAAGAAGGAACTTTCTGTTCTTTTACTGCCTCACCTTCCTCCTTCCGGGTCCACCTCCCTGGCTCCGGGGTCCAACTGTGCAGCCTGTCCGGGGAGCTGCTGATGGAGGAGCTGACGGCCGGTGACCACGGCTGGCTGGGGGTGTTCTGGGGCAGCTCCCTCAGGCACCGCTCCAGGCCTTGCAAGGGGGTGCTGTTCCGGCTGGGTCCTACCGAGAAAGGGCATGCAAAGCTGTCGGCTACACAACTGTACCATGCTGCTATTAATTTATTATCTAGGTACCAACTTTCCTTCCAAGAAATACCAAAACGGTCAAGGAATCATGGAATCACGGAGTTGGAAGGGACTCATAATCTAGACTTTTTGGAGCCCCACCCCCAAAAGTTTGGGAACCACTGAAATAGAACAACAATCAAAGAAAGAGAGTCGACATGAGGGGAATGCTTGAGTCTTCAGAGGCCGACAGAATGCCAAAACTGATGGGGCTCCCAACGTTTCAGCAGCGAAGGTATTCTTTGCCATTTCGGGCTGGAGATTTCCGTCCGGCCTCCAACCTTGATGCTCGCCACTCACCTTCCCTCCCTCCTCATCCACCTCCCTGCCTCCAGGGTCCACCTGTGGAGCCTGTCTGGGGAGCTGCTGACGGCTGGCGAAGAGGGCTGGCTGGGCGAGCTCAGGGGGAAGCTCCTTCAGACACCTTTCCAGCCCCTGCAGAGGGGTGCCGTTCCGACTGAGCCCTGCGAAAATGAGAGGAAGCAAAGCTGGCTCAGGACAGAGATCAAATATTCTGTCCAAGGGAAACTATGGTGTTGTTGGCAGGTGGATCTGGCCGCGACCACAACTGCCCAGCCTCACCGGCTCCCAGCAACATCACGCAGCTGAGTCTCACCTTCCTCCTTCTTCGCCCACTTCCCGGTCGCGGGGGTCCGCCGGGGGAGCCTGTCTGGGGAGCTGCCGATGGAGGAGCTGATGGTCGGAGAACAGGGCTGGCTGTGGGCGCCAGTGGGGACCTCCTTCAGACACCTCTCCAGGCCTTGCAAGGGGGTGCCGAGTCCTGAGGGTGGGGAAGGAGGGAGAGAACAGTAAGCCGGCTCCTAAACCAGAAGGCCTGAAGCTCAGTAAGAACATCAAAGACTCTGCTGGACCAGGCCAGTGGCCCGTCTAGTCTGGCACCCTCTTCTTACAGTGGTCAACCGGATGGTTATTTATTCAATTCAACCTTTCATCCATAGATCTCAGGGCAGGCTCATGACATAAAATTACAATATAAGAAGCACAAAATTTTCTGAAGAAAAACAAACGGATGCCTGCAGGAAATCTGCAAGTAGGATTTGAACACAAGAGCAACACTCTCCTCTCCTATGGTTTTCAGCTACCGGCATTTGGAAGCATTGTCCAACCGTGGCCATAGAGAACGGCCACCTGGCTAGTAGCCATTGAGAGCCCTCTCCTCCTCCATGAATTAGTCTAATCCTCTTTGGAAGCCCTCCGAGCTGGTGGCAGTCACTGCCTCCTGTGGCAGGGAGTTCCACACTTTAACTCTGCTTCTTTCACCTGTCCCGAATCTTCCAACATTTGCTCCACGGGACGTCCACAAGTTCTATTGTTTATGAGAGAGGGAGAAAACACTTCTCTGTCTGCTGTTCTCCAGGCTGTGCCTTCTTCACTTCACTTCTCCAGGCCGTGCCTAATTTTATAAACTTCCATTGTGTCTCCTCTCCCTTGCCTTTCCGCTAAACTAAAAAGTCCAAATGCTTCACCCTTTCTTTTTGCCACCCCTTTCCTGAAACTTCCCCTTTCCATATCCTTTCTGAGCAGAGACACACAGGTTTTCAAATATGGTCGCATCATAGATTGAGACATCGGCCGCTCTATTTTCAATCCCTTTCCTAACGATCCACAGAGTGGAATCTGCGTTTTTTTCACGGCTGCCAGTTAGGAGAGGCTCAGGAAACGCCAAGGAGGGAATGGCGAACCGATGGAGCAAGCCGCCCCCTGACCTTCTCGTGATGTCCCCGCCTTGGATTTCCGCCATTCTGTGTCTGGACCCCGGTGGCTGCTGGCGCACACCGGAGACAGGCGAGGGTGTTTGGCAGGGCGATTCACCAAGGAAGGTCTCTGGCCCTCGAGGGAGAAAACACTCTGGAAGAGGGTCTGTTGGAAGAAATGAAAACAGGCGGCCATCGGTCCCTGTTCGGGCGACCATCACTGACCCTCACCGAATGAGTGGGGGTGCCTTTCCCCAACCTGGTGGCCTCTAGAAATTCTGGACTACAAATCCCATCAGCCACAGCACCGTATTAGTAAATATACTATTGGTTTATAAAGACCTTAATAACTTGGGACCAGTTTGCCTACAAGATCCCTTTACCCCATAAACACCCACTCAGCAGCTTCCATTAGAGGAACTGGCAGTTACAGGCGCTCCGGAAAAGCCCGTTTCACATTTGCCAAAACTCGATGGTTTGTAGCGTGACCTCTGGAACTCCCTGCCTATTGATATCTAGGAAGCTGCCTTCACGGCACTCTTTTCGGCGCCTGGTGGAAGCTTTTTTAAAAAAATAAGTAACTTTATTTATTATGTTTTTCAAGTTTAAATTTTACAATCACAAACGTACAACATAAAGACAAGATCCTAAAGAATCTCCTGGACTTCCCTCCTCCCTATTGTAGGCCCTATTATTAATCGTTTCCTCCTGCATCTTTTATAATAATCCAAATCTTTTACATCTCCATTATATCCGAAATTCACCATTAAACTACAAGTGTTATTCCAATCCTACTAACGATTTCAACTGTTTACAATGGTTTTTAAGGTAAATTACAAATTTTCCCCATTCCTTATTAAAATATTGGCCTTCCCAATTTCCGATTCTTCTGGTCATTTTTTGCCGTTTCGGCATAGTCCATCAATTTAACTGGTGGAAGCGTTCTTGTTAATCAACCCTGTCCAGATTTTTTTAGAAAGATGGCACGAGTTCTAATCTGTTTTTAGCCTGCTGTTATTTAACTTTCCGAAAATCTGAAATTACTCGTCAATTTGGGTCGTGGATCATTTCTTCTTTTTCTTTTGTGAACTGCTTCAAGATGGTTGGTTTTCTTGCAGCCGAGGGGTGTATAACCGTTACAAAATAAAGTGGCCATGTTGGTTGGGGGCTGATGGGAGCTGTAGTCCCCTGGCAACTCCAGACTGCAAAGAGAAAGCGCAAACCAAATCCCGCCCCCTTACCACAGAGGGCAAGCGATGGAGGGGTGTTGCTCTGGGAGCTGCCCTGCTCTGCTCTCTGCTGCGGCCGCATTGCTGCGTGGTTCTGCAGGGAAGCAGAAAACAGAGTCAATCTGGTGCTTTTAAAAATGGGTGTCAGGCCCATTTCTAAGGCTTGAGAGGCTCCCTGCCCCCTCCCAAGTCTCTCCCACCCTCGCCCACCACCCAGAGGGCGTACCTAATCTTCCTCTCTTTCCTCCTTTCCTTCGCTCTTTTCCTCCTCCTCCTCTTTTTCCAGCCACAGCTTGGGAGGCCTGAGGCCTTGGGTCAGGGATGTCCTTCAGGCAGTTCAGGAGCCCATGGAGAGGACTGGTCACTGGGCTCCAGGCTGCATTGGAAACGAGGGACAAATTGCAGGATTGGAGAGTTGGAAGGGACCCCCGGGGTCATCTGGCCCAACCCCCTGCAATGCTCACCACGCAGCAGAGACAGGAGTCCCCGTCCCCCAATGGGAAGCAACAGGGTACCCGGAGGCCCTTCCCATTGCCCCACATCCTGGGAAGAATCTGGCATGGGAGCTGCAGATCCGACACACCCACCTTTAACCCACCTGCTCCAGGTAACTGGGGAGAGAGCAGCCCCCTTGATGGAACACAGGACCTGGCTAAGTGTGGACAAGTGTAGATCCCTTCTGCCTTCTCCAGTCACTGCGAGTGCATCATTCCTCTCTTCAAATACCCTCCCACCCCATGTTTTCTGAACCAACCAGTCCCTCCGCCCCACCCTGTCTGGACTCTGCCTCACCCTCCGAATATGGGACCCACATCCCCAGGTCCATCCCTGTCTCTGGGCTGCTTTGAGAGAGGGATCCTTCGGGGAGGCTAGGTGTCAGGTCTCGCTCCTCCTCGGGGACTTCCTTCAGGTCTCGCACAAGGTCCTCAGATGGTTCTTCCATTTTAACTGTTGCAAAGAAGCAAGGGGGGGACCAAGGTCAAAGTGGAGCCAGCCCTCATCTCCCCTCCCCCCCACCTTCCACCCTGCCTGAGAATTCCCAGTACTCCAAGGAAAACCATATACAGATCAATTCCTTTGGGAAGAACAGAATCCAAACATACATTCACACCCCTGAAGGCCCTTTGAGAAGGGCCATAGCTCAGTGGCAGAATATCTGCTTTGACAAAGTGAAGCTTAGTGGATCAGGGGAATGCTCTGGATGTAGTGTATCTTGAGTTCAGTAAGGCTTTTGACAAAGCCTTTTGATATTCTCATGAGGAAGCTGGAAAAATGTGTGGGAACGTTTATATAATTTAGCAGAGTTTAAACAATCCTCTATTTGAGTTTCTGCAGCGACAAGCGGGTTGCTAACTTGTTTGAGTCCCATCAATAATGATACCTTCCTGGTTCCCTCTGACCAACCGACAAAACTGCCTGCCACATAGAGGCAGTTAGTCCTCTCAGAATGTTGGACTTGACTACCAGCTTTATATTCCACAAAATGTGGGCTGAACGAGGTAGCTGTTATGTGGATTTGTAGCTGGTTGACTGACAAAACCCAGAGTACTCATTAATGATTCCTCGTCATCCTGGAAAAAAGTGACAAGTGGGGTGCCGCAGGGTTCTGTCCTGGGCAAGTTGTTGCTTAATGTCTTTATAAATGACTTGGATGAAGGAATTGAGGGGATGCTCGTCAAATTTGCAGATGACGCCAAACTGGGAGGGGTAGCTAATGCTACAGAAGACAGAATCAGAATTCAAAATGACCTTAACAGATTGGAGAACTGGGTGTAAGCTAACAAAATGAGTTTCACTTTGGGACAAATGTAAGGTTCTGCACTTAGGCAGGAAGAACCAGATGCACAAATATAGGATGGGGTACACCTGGAAAAGGATCCTGGGGCCTTGGTGAAGAAGAAGAAGAAGAAGAAGAAGAAGAAGAAGAAGAAGAAGAAGGAGGAGGAGAAGAAGGAGGAGGAGTTTGGATTTGATATCCTGGTTTATCACTACCCTTAAGGAGTCTCAAAGCGGCTAACAATCTCCTTTCCCTTCCTCCCCCACAACAAACACTCTGTGAGGTGAGTGGGGCTGAGAGACTTCAGAGAAGTGTGACTGGCCCAAGGTCACCCAGCAGCTGCATGTGGAGGAGCGGAGACGCGAACCCGGTTCCCCAGATTACAAGATCTGCTCTTAACCACTACACTGGCATGAGTCAACTGTGTGATGCAGCAGCAGCACCAGCAAAAAAAAGCTAAGGTTATTCTAGGCTGCATCAACAGAGGTCTAGTGCCCCGATCCAAGGAAGTCATAGTTCCTCTCTGTTCTGCCTTGGCCAGACCACACCTGGAGTCATATGTCCAGTTCTGGGCACCACAATTTGAGAAGGATGTTGACAAGCTGGAAGGCGCGCAGAGGAGGGAGACCAAGATGGTCAAGGGTCTGGAAAACGAGCCTGATGAGGAACGGTTGAAGGAGCTGGGCATGTTTAGCCTGGAGGAGACTGAATGTGATACACTAGCCACCTTCAAATATCTGAAAGACTGTCGCATGGAAGATGGAACAAGCTTGTTTTCTGCTATTCCGGAGGGGGGGCAGTCACCCAACCAATGAATTCAAATGACAAGGAAGGGGATCCTGGAAGAGACACCAGGAAGAACTTTATGACAGTGAGAACTGTTTGACAGTGGAAGGGGCTCCTTCAGAAATTGGTGGACTCTCTCTCTGCGGAGGTTTTGAAAAGAGAGGCTGGATGGCCATCTGTCATGGCTGCTTCAGTTGAGATTCCTGCATTGCAGGGGGTTGGACTATAGGACCCTTAGAGTCCCCTTCAAACTCTGCAGGTCTATCATTCTATAATTAGGCATAAGGCTGCTTCCTGCTGGAGAAATACTCTTCCTCTGAGCTATGATCCTCTTCCTAATTTCATCGGACACAACACACCAAGTCTGTTATCAATAGTTGGCCGATCTCATCCAAACATTTTAACATTTAAGGACTTCCCCCTCTTTCTGTAGTTCCTTGAATTCATTTTTTAATCTCTGTTGCATATCCAGATTAATTTAATTTGCTCATTTCTTCATCTCTTTAAATATATACTCTTATGAAACTGCAGGTTATTACAATAACCCTGCCAATGTTTTTATCTGTTTATAATTTATCTGCAAATATTCAATAAAACATTTCCATTCTTTCATTTTAAAAATTGTTATCTCGATTTCTTATTCTTCCAGTAAGTTTCGCCATTTCTGCACACTCCACTAGTTTTTGTAGCCATTCTTCCTTTGCTGGGACTTCTGCTTCTTTCCACTTTGGGGTAAGTAACATTCTTGGCTGCTGTAGTAGCATACATAATAAATTTCTAAACCGTTTAGGTAGTTCTGTCCCTATAATTCCCTCTAACACGTGCGATTTCAACCTTGAAGGCTGGCTGGTTGAAATTGCACGCATTGAATGTATGCACGGTTTTCCCACCAGGAAAAGAGCTTCTAAGTGCCTGGCCTTGCTTACCAGGAGAGGCCAGTTCAGGAAGGGTAAGGATGTTCGTGAAGGGGAGGTTCAACGGATGCATGCTTTTCCGTATAGGCAGAACCCTTGGAACCAAGCCTCCACACACAATCTGATCATACTGTATTCCAGAATCGACCCCCTTTACCCCACTTAAGGGAAGGGGTGCCCCATAACCTGTGTACCAACTTCAGGCATGGCAAACCTCTCTGCCTGGGCATTTCAACTGTTCTTACAAACTTAACTGAAATTTTTAAAACTATTACAATACCAAGCTTAAAATGTCTTCCAGGACAAATGCATGTACAGATGATGCGAAGTCTTGCATGCATCCACACAGCATTGAAACAGGCTTGGAAGATCTTTTAAATGACAGATTAAGCTCACATCCACACTTCAAGCCAAAGCGTTCACATAATTTCTCCATAGTGGCTGCTGCCTGAACTTCAGCGAGGTCTCTCCGCTGGGGGGGGGTGTCCCCGTGGCAAGAGCCCCCTGCTGACCCCCCTACCCCCATTGAGATCTAGTCTCCTGCCTGTAAGAGACCGGGACACTCTCCTGAGATCTGGGAGAGGCTCAGGGAGTGTGGGCTGGCGGTCACTCGAAAACCTGAATGCCACGTCCAAACAGTTTCCCCTCTCACCCCCCTCCTTTCCCACTCTTTAGCGCTAAATCGGAGTGGATATCAACCCAGAGAAAACCCAAATTGCTGTTTGCTCCGACTGAGAGCTAAAGAGCAGTTTCCCCCGGGGGAAAGAAGAAGCACGAGTGTGGATAAGCCCAGAGTTAACCACATTAGAGCTATGAGCCCATTTAACCTCGTCCCCTTTCACCAGGCGCAGGATTTGGCCACAGGAAACATGTCCTCCACTCAGTGGAGGGATCAGTAAACAAACTCCACAGCTTACCCACTGCAAAGATGTTCCTGTCCTTTGCCTCTGACCGGCTCCTTCTCCTGCCTCCTTCAGTCTGGCAGGTGGAAACACGACAGGAGGGAGCAACCGGAGGGCTGGATCCTCCTTGTGCAGCAGTGTTTTCCAGGCTAGGGGCAGGCAGCTCCTCATCCACGGCTTCAATTTTAACTGTGCACAGAAATAAGGAATCAGGGCCGTCTCAGACTACCAGTACCACCCCCCAAAAAACTACCAAGGTGAAATTGGGTCCCTAACACCTCAAGGGTTTGAGACCCATCGGCTACCCGATGGACTCACAACTGTCCATGGAGGCGCAGGTCAGTTCTGTGTCCAGGGCAGCTGCCTACCAGCTCCACCTGGTACGCAGGATGTGACCCTCCCTGCCTGCGGACTGCCTTGCCAGAGTGGTGCATGCTCTGGTTATCTCCCACTTGGACTACTGCCATGCGCTCTACGTGGGGCTACCTTTGAAGGCGACCTGGAAACTACAACTAATCCAGAATGCGGCAGCTAGACTGGGGACGGGGAGTGGCCACCAAGACCACATAACCCCGGTCTTGAAAGACCTACATTGGCTCCCAATACGTTTCCGAGCACAATTCAAAGTGTTGGTGCTGACCTTGAAAGCCCTAAACGGCCTCAAAGGCCCAGTGTACCTGAAGGAGCATCTCCACCCCCATCATTCTGCCCGGACACTGAGGTCCAGCTCTGAGGGCCTTCTGGCGGTAACCTGGATGTGAGAAGCAAAGCTACAGGGAACCAGGCAGAGGGCCTTCTCGGTAGTGGCACCCGCCCCATGGAACGCCTTCCCACCAGATGTCAAAGAGAAAAACAACTGCCAGACTTTTAGAAGACATCTGAAGGCAGCCATGTTCAGGGAAGATTTTTAATGTGTGACGTTTTAATGTATTTTTAATCTTTGTTGGAAGCTGCCCAGAGTGGCTGGGGAAACCCAGCCAGATGGGTGGGGTACAAATAATAAATTATTAAATTATTATTATTACCTTCACCTGGTTTAGCTGGCCAGTCGAGATTTTGCTTATTTGCTAATTAGTGGGCCAGAGTACTGTTTCATTTAATATTTGAGTACTGATAATGTTGTTTGCTCCTATTTATATGCCTGGCATGCTTTCTCCACCCTATGGATGTTACCTTATACGATTTCTCCCATTCCTCCGCCCCCCATGGTATTATGTATTGCACATTTTGCTTTGCTGTTAATCACTTGGCAAATCATCTTCTGAGGCCCTCCTTCATGTGCCTCCTCCTTGAGAGGTCTGGAAGGTGGCAACATGAGAACGGGGCCTTTTCTGCACTGGCTCCCCATTTGTGGGAATGCTCTCCCCGGGGAGGTTCGCCTGGCGCCTTCATTATACACCTTTAGGCGCCTGGCAAAAACGTTCCTCTTTAACCAGGCCTTTGGTTGACCTGATGGGACACCCTATACTCTTTTAAAACGTGGCTCTTTTTGGGGGGGGTGTTATTGTTCTTATTTTGATTTTATATATTGTGATATTTTCTGTGAACCGCCCTGAGACCTCCAGGTATCAATCAATCAAGGTATTTTAGAGCTGGAAGTGAGCCATCTAGTCCAACCCCTGCAACGCAAGGAAGTCCAGGCAAGGTGCCAGGATGGACCAGAAGGAACCGCTGGGCATCCTTAAACCAGAGCGTGTTCAGACCCACCTTGGCCAAGGGGAGACCCACAGGCCCCTTCCCTCATCTTCTGCCGCAGGGCTGGCTGCCAGCTGCTGCTGGGGTTCCAGCGGGATGTGTGAGGGGGCTGATGGACGATCAATTCCTTCAGGCACTTCAGCAGCCCTTGCAGGGGCTTCTCCTCTGCTGCCATTTCTGAGAGAGAAGAACAACAAGCTGTGTCGTCGTTTGGGGAAGGGCCACCAAGCCAGGCTGGGAAAGGAAGGTGAATAATAATAATAATAATAATAATAATAATAATAATAATGTATTATTTACACCTTGCCCATCTGGCTGGGTTTTCCTAGCCACTCAGGGCAGCTCCCAACAGAATATTAATAATAATAAAAAAGTGACAAAACATCAAACATTGAAAACTTTCCCAAACAGGGCTGCCTTCAGATGTCTTCTAAAAGTCTGGTAGTTGTTTATTTCCTTGACATCTGATGGGAGGGTGTTCCACAGGGGGGGCGCCACCACCAAGAAGGCCCTCTGCCTGGTTCCCTGTAACTTGGCTTCTCGCAGCAAGGGAACCACCAGAAGGCCCTCGGCGCTGGACCTCAGTGTCTGGGCAGAACGACGGGGGTGGAGATGCTCCTTCAGGTATACAGGACCGAGGCCGTTTAGGGCTTTAAAGGTCGGCACCAACTCCCAGTCCCCAGTCTAGCTGCTGCATTCTGGATTAGTTGTAGTTTCCGAGTCACCTTCAAAGGTAGCCCCACATAGAGCACATTGCAGTAGTCCAAGCAGGAGATAACCAGAGCATGCACCACTCTGGCGAGACAGTCCGCAGGCAGGCAAGGTCTCAGCCTGCATACCAGATGGAGCTGGTAGACACCTGCCCTGGACACAGAATTAACCTGCGCCTCCATGGACAGCTGTGAGTCCAAAATGATTCCCAGGCTGCGCACCTGGTCCTTCAGGGGCACAGTTGCCCCACTCAGGACCAGGGAGTCCCCCACACCCGTCCGCCACCTAACTCAATCACAGAAACGACTTTCTGATGGGAAAAGCTCTTCGACGGTGGAACAGGCATCGAAATCACAGCCAAATGAACAGATCCATTCCTTCGTCCCAAACCTCCTCCTTCCAGAGTTTACGAACCTTGCGTGAGGCTTGGGTGCAAGTGCTTCGAAACGCCTTCTTGGCAGGCTCTCGGATCCAGGGACTTGGGCCGTGCCGTGTCTCTCCCGGAAGAGCAGCTCGATAAAGAGGCACCAACAGAAGCACCGAGAGCAACAGGCGAGTCTGCTCCTCCTTCCTTCCAGGAATTTACCAGAGGTTCATGGCCGGGATCCGCAGAGGCTTCTGCTGAAACAAAAGAAACAAAGAAATCAAGAATGCATTGCATCAGCGTTTGGCCTGTCCTGCTGGAAGTTTAGGTGTAACTCTTTCCATTAGATCAGCCTTTCTCAACCAGTGGGTCCCAGATGTTGTTGAACTTCAACTCCCATCACCCCTAGTTAGCAAGGATGATGGGAGTTGTGGTCCAACAACATCTGGGGACCCACAGGTTGAGAACCGCTGCATTAGACAGAAAGAAGATAAAGTCCCAGCCAGAGAAGGCAGGCAGATCAAGTTGACGGATTATGCAGAAATGGCAAAAAGGACTGGAAGAGTCAGAAATCAGGAAGACCAAAATTTTAATAAGGAATGGGGGAAATTTATGACCTATCTTAAAAGCCATTGTAAACGGTGAAAATCATTGGTAGGATTAGAATATCACTTGTACTTTCATGGTGAATTTTGGATATGACGGAGATGGAAAAGATTTAGATTATCATAAAAGATGCAGGAGGAAATGATTAATAATAGGACCCACAAAGGGGAGGAGGGAAGTCCTAGAGATTCCTTGGATATTCCTTTGATATGTGCCTGTAAAGTTTTAACGTGAAAAACGAAATAAATAAATGTATGGGGGGAAAGGAAGTCTGGGTGCAACTCAGCTCACTGAGAGCGGTTTGCATGGGGTAACAGGGGGCGTCATTTTAGGAGGTGAAACTTAATTGTTCTTCGTTTCTTCAGTGAAGAGTCTTAAAAATATATTTCTGGGTGTGAGGAACTCAAATCTGCTATTATTTTTGTGATCGGACGTTTAGCTTGGCAACTCTACATTTGATGAAGAAGCACATTAAGCGCTTTTGGAAAACCAAAGAATTTTAATTGTACCTTCTGGAAATGTCAGGTAATGCTAAATGATAAAAAAATAGATAATAATTAAATATATACATATCCTAGAACATCCAGTACTTGGCAATCATTTTTAATGATTTCTATGCCATTTTACACACATAGCAAGCAAAACTAAATTGTATTAATCTAAACAAAAGATCTGTTGAGTTTCCAAGGCACATTACAACTTTTTAGCACCCCTCGTTTTTGGAAGCTGAAAGCTGAAGAAATTCAATATGCCCTAATGGGTTAATGGAGTGGGGGACCCCTAGCTCTCCTGGAACCCTTTTCTCTATGCTGACACCTCTCTTATCTCTTTGAACTTTAGAGGGATAAACCTTAGGTTGCATCCAGCTTTAAGATTCCCTGCAGGGCCGTTGTGGCATTTGTCTGGAGCCCCTGTCGTCTCATGGACTATTGACCCGTACACCACTAATCCGCTGCCACCAACCAGGTCCTCCCTAGTAAAATCACTTCCATCTCAGTCAGGTTCTCAATTAATAAAGAAGAGTGTATTTTATTTCAGACACAAACAACTTTTACAGCATTCCAAACGTTGTTGCTCTTTACTTTCTTAGTCTTATTTTCCTCTCTCTATCTCTTCTACCTCCCCTCACTCAAGAACCCACGGCCCTATCTGTCTCTCTGCTTCCAACTGCCTGCCAACTGCTTCTCCAACTGCCTTTCCCAACCAGCCAACCCACTAAAACCAACCAACTACCCACCAACAACTCTAACAAACCTCGGGCTAAACCTCCGGGACCTCCTCTGTTTGGCTCCGCCTCTCCCGCGGCAGGGCAGTCCAGAGGGTCGGTGAGCGTGGCTTGAGGAGGCAGCCCCGCCCGCAGCCCCGTCCTCCCGCCCTCCATCGTTTGTACCGTCATCGAGGACGGGGGATCCGCCGGCTGTTGTGTCTGCTGGAACGACAGGAACACAAAAATGCTGGTTTGTTCCAGGATTTGTGCCAGTTTCCCCTCTCGCTACAACCATGTTGGATTCCCTGGCTGTGTTAGGGCCCTAAGACAGGGGTCCTCGTGACATAGCCCCCCCCCCCCCGATAACAGCAGGTGAACTGATTCCTTGGTCGCTCCCTGGTGGAACCGCCATCCTCAGACACCTCGCTTTCCTTCCCTGAACCAGGGTGGATTTGATTTAAATCAAATCGATTTAAATTACAATTTAAATCACGATTTACATCACGAGTCAGTAAGACTTTATTTATTTTTTTTACAGAAAGACTCATTCTGGCTGGTACAATCTTAATATTTACAACCAAAGGAAGGTTTCGTTTATTAGAATAATAAATTTCCAGAGTAGTTTTTACAGTTATATAAAAAATCACTGATTTGGTTAGACAGTCATACCTCGGGTTACAGACACTTCAGGTTGCGTTTTTTCAGGTTACGATCGTGCCGAAACCCAGAAGTACCGGAACGGGTTACTTCCCGGTTTCGACAGTTGCGCATATGCAGAAGCGCTAAATCGCGCTTTGTGCATGCGCAGAAGTGCCGAATCGCAACCCGTGTGCGCAGACGCGCCACTGCGGGTTGCAAACGCTGCAGGTTGCGAACGTGCATCCCGCACGGATCACATTTGCAACCCAAGCGTCCACTGTACTATTAGAAATACATAGACAGATAATTATGAAATTATTGTGAGATTTAATAAGTTAACTGTTTATATTTGGACAGCTTTTCTGCTGTACTTCATTGGAAGGAGAGAGAGAAAAATCATTTCCTTAATAACAATTGAAACAATTTATTTAACTAAAGCAGTAACAAGGCCCTTTCTGCTCATACCAACCTAGGATTTGGGAATCCTGCCCGTCTCCCTCGGTGGTGCCGGCCGGCGTGCCAGGATGGCTGGGCACGCCCAGGGTGACAGGCTCTGCCATATCTCTCTGCCGGCCAAAAGGGTGCAAGCTCTCCAGCGGAACTTCTCTTTTAACTGCAAGAACAAAGCAAATGGACGGATCAGGACCTTGCGGATCACAAAGGGATCCTTCCCTGGAACGTGACAGGGAGAGCTGACCGCAGGGTCCAATTCTGCCTGGGTCAGACCACACCGGGAGTCCTGTGTCCAGCTCTGGGCACCGCAATTTGAGAAGAATGTTGACCGCCTGGAAGGTGTGCAGAGTAGGGTGACCAAGATGGTCAAGGGTCTGGAAACCAAGCCTGATGAGGAACGGTTGAAGGAGCTGGGCACGTTTAGCCTGGAAAAGAGAAGACTGAGAGGAGATATGAGAACCATCTTCAAGTATCTCAAGGGCTGTCTCGAGGAGGAAGCAAGCTTGTTTTCCTCTGGAGGGCAGAACTCGAACCCATGGCTTCAAGTTACAAGAAAGTTGCAACTATACTATGTGTATGTAACAAATGAAGCTTTGCAGGGTTAAAGAAAGAGAAAAATGGTGCAAAAAGTATAAAGATAGAGGTAATCTACATTAGACACAACAATTTAGAAAGAGTAAAAATTTCGAGGGTCTTAGAACAAAGGAAGGAAATCAATATGTGTATATGTAATAATGATTAGAACAATGATATGGTTTTATTTGTAGATGTGTGTTTTGTCGTTTTTGTGTGTGTGTGTGTTTTTTCCCGCTTGTGTCCCCCCCCCCTCTTGTTTGTACTGTGTTATTTTGGATTCAATTTTTGTATTTTTGTTGCAATTTTGCATTGAAAATAAAAAAATTTAAAAAGAAGGAAAGAAAGTTGCAACTAAACACCAGGAAGAACTTTCTGTCAGTTAGATGGTGGAATAGACTGCTTGGGAAGGTGGCGAACTCTCCTTCCTTGGAGGCTTTTTAGCAGAGGTTGGATGGCCATCTGCCATGGAAGCTTGAGCTGAGATTCCTGCATTGCAGGGAGTTGGGCTAGATGACCTCTGGTGGTCCTTTGCAACTCTACCGTTCTAGGAATCCGTGAATTCGCTCACCGCTGCTGGTTGGCGCCTCCTTGGCAGGAACCTCAGCTTCCACGGCGTCTGGGGCGAGGTCTCCGGCAGCCTTCGTGTGTCCGTAGAGAAACTCTGGGATTTCCTCCACCAGCTTCATGAGAGCGCAAAGGTGGAGGCTGCTGGGATGCTCACCTGTTTGGGAAGCAGAGAGAGAAAAATATCCGCCTTTTATTTCCACGGACAGGGAAGATGAAGTCCTCTTCAATCAGGTACACACAGCTGTGACCGGCTAGCAGCAAATTTTGACGCTGGATCTGAAAACGAGAGCTGCTTTACAATCGAGCTCCATTTATGGGGGCGAAAAGGGGATTTTCCACCAAGCCGGCCGAGATAGGGATCATCTCCCCATGCAGCTTGGCTCACTCACACGAGCTGGCTGCAACACTAATATAACCCGTTCTGGGCACCCCAGTTTAAGAAGGATGTTGACAAGCTGGAGCGTGTGCAACCAAGATGATCAAGCCACCCAGAGTGGCTGGGAAAACCCAGCCAGATGCATGGGGTATAAATAATAAATTATTATTATTATTATTATTATTATTATTATTATTATTATTGCAACCGAGCCATATGAGGAATGGTTGAAGGAGCTGGGTATGTTTAGCCTGGAAAAGCAGAGATATGAGAGCCATCTTCATATATCTAAAGTCACATGGAAGATGGAGCAAGCATTTTTTCTACCACAATGGAGGGTAGGACTCGAACTCATGGCTTCAAGTTACAAGAAAGGAAATCCCAACTAAACATATAGAAAAACTGAGGGTAAAAGGGCGTTTGATGGTGGAACGGACTCCCTCAGAAGGCAGTTGACTCTCTTCCACTGGAGGTTTTTAAACATGAGGTCGGGCCAACTGTCAGGGGTTCCTCAGCTGCGATTCCTGCATTGTAAGCGGGTTGGACTAGATGACCATGGGGAGCCCTTCCCAAGTCCATAATCTGTGATTCCAACACTCCATTCCTCTTCCCACTCTTACCGTCCCGGTTGCTAGCTGGGGTCAGGCACCTCTCTCCCTCCTCACTCAGGTCCTCCAGGTCCCAGGGTCCGTCCAGCTCGGATTCACCCTCTGAAAAAAGGAACGGTTCCCCGAAAGCAGAAAAGAAACCCTAAGGGAGCCTCCCTCAATCTGGTGGGCTTCATATGTTTTGGACTGCAGTTCCCCTGGCGCCAATCTGGGAGGCCCCTCCATGGAGGCGCAGGTCAGTTCTGTGTCCAGGGCGGCTGTTTATCAGCTCCATCTGGTACGCAGGATGAGACCCTCCCTGCCCACAGACTGTCTCGCCAGAGTGGTGCATGCTCTGGTTATCTCCCACTTGGACTACTGCAGTGCACTCTATGTGGGGCTACCTTTGAAGTTGACCCAGAAACTACAACTAATGCAGAATGCAGCAGCCAGACTGGTGACTGGGAGCGGCCGCCGAGACCACATAACACCGGTCTTAAAAGACCTACATTGGCTCCCAGTATATTTCTGAGCACAATTCAAAGTGTTGGTGCTGACCTAAACGGCCTCAAAGGCCCAGTAGACCTGAAGGAGCGTCTCCACCCCCATTGTCCAGCCCAGACACTGAGGTCCAACTCTGAGGGCCTTCTGGCGGTTCCCTCCCTGCGAGAAGCCAAGTTACAGGGAACCAGGCAGAGGGCCTTTTCGGTGGTTGCACCCGCCCTGTGGAACACCCTCCCACCAGATATCAAAGAGAAAAACAACTACCAGACATTTAGAAGACATCTGAAGGCAGCCCTGTTTAGGGAAGCTTTTAATGTTTAATGTTTGATGCATTATTGTATTTTAATATTTTGTTGGAAGCCACCCAGAGTGGCTGGGAAAGAGTGGCGGGGTATAAATAATACATTAATTATTATTATTATTATTATTATTATTATTATTATTTCCTTTCTATGGGGCGGGGGGGGAGAAGAGGCTTTAAAAATAATCCTAGCACCATTTTGCTTTTTAAAAAAAGTAATAGAAGAAATCTATAATGAGGGGATATATTTGTAACTCAAGTCTCCCCCGCTGCCACCCGGCTTGGCAAAGAACCCAGCTCTGGCAGGGGCTGGTTCCCAGAAAAAGCTCCACAAAGGGAAACTACCCACAAATCCAGGGTGGACTGAACTAGAGCTAAGACTATGGAACTCGCTGCCACTGGAGGCAGCGATGACCAACATGGATGGCTTTAAAATAGGATCCATGGAGGGGAGGGCTATTGATGGCTGCTAGCAAGGATGTCTCTGTTCTGCCTCCACAGCCAGAGGCAACATGCTTCTGAACTTCAGTTGCTGGAAACTGCAGGAGGGGAGAGGGCTCTGCGTTCGAATCCTGCTTGCTGGTTTCCCACAGGGATTGCTGTAAGAACAGGATGCTGGAGTCTTCCTATGTTCTTATGCTAACCTGCAAACTATGGGGTTTTTCATTATTTGAGGCTGAAACGGACCTTTGCTCTCTGGGGCTTACTTGCGAGTAGGCATTATAGACGGACCTTGGCCATGGGGAAGGGAATAGCATAATAATAATAATAATAATAATAATAATAATAATAATAATAATTTATTATGTATACCCTGCCCATCTGGCTGGGTTTCCCCAGCCACTCTGGGCGGCTTCCAACAGAATATTAAAATACAATAGTCTATTAAACATTAAAAGCTTCCCTATAATGCTATTTTAAGTGATGTAGGTTTTTAATCCCTTGCCAAAAAATATTGGGAAAACAATGTTTTTCCAGCACTGTTAAAGGGTTCTGATATTGTTTGCGTTTTATTTTCTTCCAACACGGAAAAGGATTTCTTACCGCTGGCTCTGTCCTCCCCACCAGCCCCGCCAAGTTTCTGGTCCTCAATATTTCCTTCTGGCTGATTGATGAAGGACGACAGCTCCACCGGAGGAATGGAACGGCCTGTTTGCAAAGCAGAAAGGGAGGGACCTAAGTTTGAAACTGGGAGCTCAAGCCAAGTGACACCCGAGGGTGCCAGTAAGGTTTTCTGGGACCAGGAACAATATATGTCCACTGAGGGCTCTCCGACCCAATCACAAAAGGGGACATTGCTGGGGGTTGGACTAGATGATCCTCAGTACCCAATTCCAACTCTACGGTTCTCTGTTTCCATGACACAGAGTTTTATAAAATCTGCTCGTATAATCTCATTTAATCTCACTGTAAACAAGTGGTCCAGTGACAATAAAGTATTTCTATTTTCTATTTCTATATGCTTTGCGTCGTTTGCAAATTTCTATCCCGTTTGAGGGCCGAGGGCTCAAAAATAAATACAGTGGTACCTTGGTTCTCAAATGCCTTGGTACTCAAACAACTTGCAACCCAAACACTGCAAACCCGGAAGTGTTCTGGTTTGCGAACTATTTTTGGAAGCCAAACATGCTCTGTTTTGAGTGTTACGCTTCCGATTTGAGTGCCACACTTCTGTTTTGAGTGTTACCTTGCGGTCTGTCTGTTTTTGCTATTTATTTTTCGTTTTTGTTTTTGCGACTCTTTTTTGTGTGTGACTGTGGAACCGAGTTCAGCGACTGATTGATTGTGTGACTGCAGTACATTGTTTATTGCTTTCATTTTATGGATCAATGGTCTCATTACATAGTAAAATTCATGTTAAATTGCTTTTTTTAGGGGTTGTTTTTAAAAGTCTGGAACGGATTAGTCCATTTTGCATTACTTTCTATGGGAAAACGCGTCTTGGTTTTGGAACGCTTTGGTTTTGGAAAGGACTTCCAGAATGGATTAAGTTTTGTTAGCCCCAAAATGGAAAAGGAGCGAGGTCCCAACCAAAGAAGAATGGCAACTGAAGCTGATGGAATATGCGCAGACTTAACATATAGAATAAGAGAACAAGAAGAATATACATTTAGAGAAGATTGGAAAATGTTTATTGACTACAGTGGTACCTTGGTTTACAACCATAATCCGTTCTGGAGGTCCAGTTGTAAA